TCTCAATGAAATTCACTGTTTGATCCTTACAATGAATTACCAGAACCTTTTTCAATCAATGAGTCTGAAATACCTTCTCTCCTCACAAAATATCTCAAGTTGTATTACTAAATCCACAGCTATACCATACTCAATCTACACATTTGGCATGCACTGCAGAAGTAGCAGTAATTACACAATCAGAAAGCTTATTTATTCCGATTAGTATACAAACAATGCAAAGTGCCTTGTTCAGCTGAAATTAGAATAGCTGTCTAGGAATCTCAAAATGTAATGCAAATAAAGAAACAAAATTTCTTTCTAAAATATTCACCCGATTATTCTTATTTATGTAATAAGGACCCTCATTTTTGAGGGTCAGCATATATGTATATACACATATACATTTTTACTTATAAGCATACCTGTCTACACACACACACACACACACACACACACACACACACACACACATTTATGTGTATGTGTCCTGGATTCATCTGTAACAGTTATTTTTCTCCTTCTTAGTAGCTGGTGCAGTGCTGTGTTTCGGTTTAAGTCTGAGAACAATGCTGATAACACACCAATGTTTTAGTTGTTGCTACATAATGCTTACCCTGATCAATGCCTTTTCAGTCTCTCATGCTCTGCCAGTGAAGAGGGGTACAGGAAGCTGGGAGGAAGCAGAGACAAGGACACCTGACCCAAACTAGCCAAAGAGGTATTCCATACCACAGCACATCATGCCCAGTACATAAACTGGGGCGTTACCCAGAATGCCCAGATCACTGCTCAGGTCAGGCTGGGGATGGGTCAGTGGGTGGTAAGCAACTGTATTGTGCATCACTTGTGCTTATTAGGTTTTTTTTATTTTCTTCCCTCTTTAGTTTTATATTCTCTTTCTTTGTTACTTCCATTACCACTACTATTATTGGTGGCAGTCGTAGAAGTTTTGTATTATACCTTAGTTACTGGACTATTCTTATCTCAACCCATGGGATTTGCAGTCTTTCAATTCTCCCCATCATTCTGGGAATGGGGGGAAAGACAGAATCAGAAGTGTGTGAGCAGCTGCATGGTTCTGAGTTACCAGCTAGGCTTAAACCACAACAGTATTCATACACACAAATATATATGCAATTATATGTAGCTGTAAGAGTCTCAACTTTTTTTTCTTCTTTTGAAATATCTTTTTAGGGGGTTTTCAAATATGAATTCTTTGAATCTTTTTAATACAGGACTTCTCCTTCTACTTTTATAGGTTTTGAATTACGGCATTCCAAAACTCCAGCAACTTCTTAAGTTTTTTCCTGACTCCTCCTTTTTTTTCTCTTTTTTTCTTCATGCTATCGGTAGTTTTTTGGGAGAAATGTTGAAAAGAAAAAAAAGAAATATGAAGACATGGTAGAAGGTAAACTGAAATTTTTTTACACTCAATTCATGCTTCCCCTCTTATCATTACTATTGCCCATATAATACCTTAATTGGGCACTGAATCTCATATTTCATGTATAATTAAAGACTTAGCAAAATAGGCAAAATTCCATTTTGCAATTTTACAGCATTTGTCTCAAGTTTCAACACTGCTTTCCATTTTATGTTAACACATAAGGGTGCTTCCCAAAACATATGTCAAGCAGCTTTTGAAACGCTTACTATGTAGTAGCAGTAAGGGCAGAAGATGTGGAGGTAGTAAACTCCTTGCTAATATTCTCTCTATGATATTAAGATCTTAATTCTTGCAAGAGTACTGATGAATGACAGGTATCTTCAACTTCAGAAGGAAGTAATAAAGATGTATATTTAAAGCCTCTCTGCACTGCACAAACTCCAGCTTGCTCACTGTCACATTTCACTTTAAATAGCTTAGGTAGCACAGGAAAGACTGAGAAATGTGGCCTGGACAGATCTTCATTTTTTCAGTAGGAAAGGATCACCAAACAGATTAGCTTGAGCTGGAAGCAGCTTGTCATGTTTTCAGCTGGGACAAGAGTTAATTTTCTTCCTAGTAGCTGGTACAGTGATGTGTTTTGGCTGAAGTCCGAGAACAATGCTTGATAACACACCAATGTTTTAGTTGTTGCAAAGTAGTGCTTACTCTAAGTCAAGGACTTTTCAATTCCCCATGCTCTGCCAGTAAGGAGGGGCACAAGAACATGGGGGGAGCACAGCCAGGACAGCTGACCTGAAAATAGCCAAAGAAATATTTCCATACCACAGAACATCATCCTCAGTACAGAAACTGGGAGGAGCTGGTCAGAAGAGGCCATTTGCTGCTCCGGCACAGGCCAGGCATCAGGTGGTGAGCAATTGCATTGTGCATCACTGTTGTTTGCTGGTGGGGGGGGAGTTGTTTTATCTCTCTCTCACTGCTTATTTTCAAACTTCCCCCGAGTTGTCCTGACCTTTCTAGTATTACTGAGCATGGCCTTGCAATAACATTGGCTAGCTTCCTTACATTTTTTGGTGCAAGCCATCTGGTCTCATAGACTTGTGTTTATCTGATTTAAGTGCTCCCTAATCTAATCCTCCTGCACCTAAGGTAAATCCTTCTTGCTCCAGATTTCCATTCATCTTGAGGGCCTAGGATTGCTCATTGCTAGTCTTATCAATAAAGACCAAGGTGAAGAACTCATTAAGAACCTCAGCCTTTTCTGTCCTCTGTCATCAGATTCTCTATCCCACTCTTTCTTCTGAGGGAACGGCACAGTAGCAGACATCAGTTCATTCTGAGGCAGTAAAGGCAAAAAAGTAAGGAAAGGAAATGATAGAACAGAGGATTCAAAGACATACTGAGGCAAGTCATTGTGGAACAGAACAGGATAAGATCACTCAGTTAAGAACTTTCGTTCTATTAAATGACTATGAATTTCATAATTTTTCAGAATTTTCCCTTTTTTTAATTATTCTATCTTTAACAACACTCAATAATGTAGGGTTTTAAGAGAAATGGAAATAGAAGCAAAAGAAGAGGGCTTTCTTATGTGCATATACTGAGGTATTTCTGTGTGCCCCCTAGCAAACGGAATACTATTCATGAACCAAAAAAACTATATACAAGTCAACATAGCAAGGTAGTATCTAATTTCCCACAGACAGAAAGCATATATAATCTCTACTTTCTCATTCCAATCTTGTACTTCTCTGAAAGCAGAAAAACATAATTAACTGAAATTGTAAGGGAGAACACTAATGTAGATAAACATTCCTCGGCAGTAACCACAAAATTCATCTTTACCTGTGACTCAGAGTCTAATCTGCAAACAGGTCTGCACAAATGGATGCACTAACTTCCTGAGCTGTCTGTCCTATTAGCATGCCTTAATAGAAGTTATTATTAGTACTGAGAACCCCAATATTGTAATTAACTTGCCCTTTTTGGATGCTAACTTTGGGGACCATTTTAAAATAAGTAACTGGAAAAAAATACTTAACAATTGCTGATAACCACATGAAACCCCATTTTTTAAAAAAACTTACTTTAATATTTTAATATTATAACATACTCTTGGCACCTAAAACTACACCTTCAATAACTGCTTAAAAAGCATCATCAGTAGATATTTCACCTGGACCAAGATATTTAGAGGATTTTGCACAGAAGTGTCCACCAGATCTGCTCAGTCCCCACAGGCCAGAACAAGGCTTGCTCTGCCTAAACATCTACGTATTACTATAGCCTACAAACAAAGAGAATGGACAGTAGAGCTGAGGAACATATCCATGTGGCATTTATGGTGAGATACAAGACTGGCCACTAAATTTTATTTTTAAGCTAGCCACTCTCTCTGCAAATTGTCATCTATATACACAGGACCTGGATAACACCAAGCAGAGTAGAGTACTTGCAATTGACTGCAAGAGAGCTGCACTAAAGCAGGCACTAGACACAGAAAGTAAGAAAACAATACATTGCAAATACACCTACTTACTGTCAGGCATGTTACCTTAGCTCAGGAAGCTCCCTGAGTTAATCATAAAATCAGACCCAAACTATGACTTGACAGCTAGAAATCTATTTCTATTGGCTGCAAGGGGTATATGTTAGCAGCAGAATTATTCAACCCATTTAAGAATATCTAGTATAAATTGTTTCTGCACACTAAAATGAGAAAAACAAGGGGATATTCAAAGCATTTGCAAGCCAGAGAATATGACCAAATGAGACTTGTGGAAGATTATATACAAATAGGTTATCCATAATTCAGATAGCTCAGAAATCACTCAAGACAAAAATGATGTTAGACAATCTTTTCCATGTGTGGTTTATGAACCACTCTGGAGTCCTTGCCTGACCATCATCAGAATGCCTTTACTTAGTGTCAACTATCCATCCAAAGTTAATGCTGAAAGAGACAATGAAGTTAGAGTCAAGAAGCAAAAGACACAAATTATGCAAAGATATAGAATTAATAATAACTAATGGTTGAACAGTTATATTAGATTTGAACACCAGAACTGCTTAGGTCAGTGTTAAACAGAACAGGTCATTTTGCCTAACTTAAACAATCACGTCAAACTGACCTTGCAAGCAGGACAAGATTTATAATCTGGTAACTTGGTCTCCATTATTTTCCTAAATGGCATTAGAATAAAGGCAATACAAAATTTATTCTAAAAATTCTGAACAGCTAGCTCTCAAACACACCACTATAAGCATGAACACTAACAACTGCATGTGACTATAAATACAAAAACAAAGAGAAATTGATAAGTTAGCACTTCCCTCCTGAGATCATTAATGGAAAGAAAGAAGGTTCATCATGCTTCACCCTTTATGCCTAGTTTGAAACTCTAAGGACACACAGAATACAGAAGGCATTTCACAAAAGTGCTAGTAAAACAGACACTTTTCTTGGAACACAGAAAAGCAAGGAAAGCAAATACGTATGTGCAGGCAATAACTTATCCAAAAAAAATACTTTCAGTGGCAATTTATCATGATATGTCTACGAATAGCAATTCTAAAAGTCTACAAAAACAGTATTAAATGGAAGAGTATAATGAAAGAATTATTTCACCTTTTTGACAGTCTTTCCACACAGTTTTTCGATTCTTCTCATAATGTTTATTCAACCAGGTGAGGATTGTTCGTTCATATGGAGAATATATATTACTGGATAATGGTTCTGATTTTATTCTTGGCATGTTCTGCACATTTTCCAAGCTGAGGTGATCAGCGATATTACGTGAAAAAACATGTGGAAGAACAAACACCTGAAATTAGAAAAAGTGGTTTTAAGGATTTAAGCATGAACTATATAAAAAGAACAATTTAAAGTTAAGTGACAACCCCCCCACTTCAAACTCAAAAGGTTTTCTAATTTAGAAAAGGTTTAGGGCATTATACATTAGCATAAATATATAACACAAAAGAGAACAGACTCGTTGAGGTCTTGGGAATCTGTAAAGGTCCCAGCCAACTAGAAGCTGGCAAATGTTGTCCTGGTTTTTAAGAAGGGGAAGAAGGAAGACACAGGCAACTACAGGCCTCTCAGTCTCACTTCAGTGCCTGGTAAAATTATGGAGAATGGTGTTCTGGGAGTTGCTGACAAACATTTGAGAGACAATGCAGTCATTGGTCATAACCAGCAGAGGTTCACAAAGGCAAAGTCCCGCATAACCAGCTTAATTTTCTTTTATAAGAAGGTCACCCATCTAGTTGACCAAGGGAGGCCAGTAGATGTGGGTTTCTTGGATTTTATCTAAGCTTATAATACTGTCTCTCACAGAATTCTTCCAGACAAAATGTCCAGCATACACCTAGACAAGTCCAAAATACGATGGCTGAACAATGGCCAACAAGTCAGGCTAAAGAGTTTTAGTAAATGAGGTTACATCTGGCCGGCAGCCAGTCACCAGCAGGGGGTCATCCAGGGCTTAATTTTAGGGCCAGTGCTCTTTAGTGTTTGTATGAATGATCTGGACATAGGGATTGAATGTACATTAAGTTTATTAGTGATACTATATTAGGAGTAGCTCTGGACTCTCTCAAAGGTAGGCCTTACAGAGAGATCTGGATAGACTATAGAGCTGGACAATCATAAACTGTATTAAATTTAACAAGAGCAAGCACCATATTCGCACCCACGATGGAGTAATCCTATATAAACATTTAAAATGGGGGATGAGAGGCTGGAGAGCAGCCCCACACTTAATTGCATGGTTTGGTTTTATGTATGAGTAGCAAGTTGGGCTATGGGTCCCTTCCAACTCAAGATATTCTATGATTCTAAATAATTTTTAGTTTCTGATATTTTTCCAAGTTTTGAGGAATTGAATGAAATCACAGGACTCATCTGGATTCCAAGAATTATTGTGTATATTCTATCCAAAGCACTAATCCCTGAACTACTATATTGGTCTCCAGTGCAACCTACAGACAATCTTGAAATGGTATCTTTCATGAGCCAGTTGCTTAATCAGGTCCAAACTACACTGACTGCTTCCCCTGAAAAAATAAACATTTTAATATCTACAACAAAATTTTTGATACTCAGTCTTGTATGAACATATATTTAAAAAAATCTGTATTTAAAATATATAAGAAATATAAAGAAGTTAAAAGTAAAAATTCCACACAATATTTTCCTTTTCCCCAATTCCCTGCCCCCACAACTGAAATGGCTGCATAGAAAAACATATTTGAAGGAAGAACACAGAACTTATTTTTGGGATGATGATGAAGTCAACAGCTTTGCTTTCATCCTCCATCATCAAAGAGGTCTCAGACCTGATCACCTTAGCCAGTGACTAGACTACCAAGGATCATGGTCATAAATGCTAATTACACTGCATCAGCTCCACAGTGCCATTATATTCACAGATAATTTAGGATGAGTTTAAGGACTAATTGTTTGGTGAAAAAAAAAAAGGCTATCATTGACAATGTCAATTGACAATTAATCAATTAATGCAAATCCAGTAAAATATTATTTTAAAATACGATTGGGCCCAGTTTCTCAGTCCCTTAAGCACTCTCAGTAATGACTAATTCCCTAACACAGAGATACATAAAGAAAGTGCCATTTCATCTACTCAGAATGGAAACAGCTTGCACCCCTTTTATAATTTTTTCTCTTCATATTAATTTCCAATACCAGATTTTAACAGGTTTGTTAGAGAAAGCCTCAGTTTCTTGAGGCAAAGTGTTAAAACTTTAATCCCTCCACTTGCTGCAGAAGTACTCTTACTATATACTCTTAAATATAGTATGATGCAGCTACAGCCATGTGGCTTCACAGTTTCCACATTTACAACTGCATTTCTTTTTTTTTCTCTGAAATTTTTCTAAAGACAAATTTTATATATACTACTATACAAAACTTACCTACTAATGTACACTAGATCCAAGCTATAACATCCATATTTAATCACAATTTTTAAAATAGTCACTTTGAAATTCTTTTTTAAACCCTGAAGCATTTCAGTTCAGCAAAGCATAGTTCTATACAGAGATGGCTGGGCTAATTTAATTTAAATATTTGGATTTCTCTCCATGGCACTTTATTGATTTGCATAGGACTATTTTATATGAAAAAGAAATAAGAATATCAGCATACTCAGATACAAAACTGAAGAAAACAACAGCAAAATAAGCAAACAAATATATACTATTTCATGCTTTTCTCAAAAGGCAGTGTCTTTGCAGTTAATTTATTGCCACATTCCTTCACCAGTATAATCTGACGTTCTGTGAAAAGAATCAAAACAGTAATAGCAACTACATTTAGAGGAAAACATGAAGAGTTATTTACCCATAAACCACTATTTTACTGTCTTTTAAAAAGAAAAATCCAATCCATCTTAACGCAGTTCATCAGGGACTGTAATTATAGAACAAGAGGGAATGGCTTTAAACTTAAACAGGGGAAGTTCAGGTAAGAACAGGTTGCCCAAATAAGTGGTAAATGCTCCATCCCTGGCAATGCTCAAGGCCAGGATGGACAGAGTCTTGGGCAAAAACATGGTCCAGTGTGAGGCGTTCCTGTCCATGGCAGGGGTTTTGGAACTAGGTGATCTTAAGGTCCTTTCCAAACCTAATTATTCTATGATCCTAAGATACACGCATGCTTATATTCCTACTGATATCCTGTGAGGGAACCAGAGCATTGTTCACCAGAACAACGACATTTTGGAGCCCACTGTATTTATTAAAATAACTAACTGAATAAAATAATTAGCTATAAGATTGGGAAATATTATTAATTATAACTATAAGAAGCATCCTTATTACCACATGCCCATTAAATTTAAAGATAGTCTTTATTGAAAATCTGGCCTGACCCAGGGGCTAACTTACCACTTCTGCTATTAGAGTCTCTCTGTTTCCATTAGCCTAGTCTTTTCAGATTTGCAAAATACCATCAATATTTTAGTCCTTGCTTGAAAAGAGAACTAAAAGTATATCTTTCTGACTGATGAATTTGCCATTTTATTCCCCACAGGTTTTATCTTTTCTTCAGAATAAAATTAATTTTCCATTCTTCTGAGATGGATTTACGTGTGCTTGTTTTCCTCTGGAACTTCTGCAGCAACAGAAGTTTTCATAACAAATATGTGGCCATAATGCACCAAGTACAGGTATGAAAGTAACATGAGATAACATTTCAGTTGATAAAGAAAAATATTAAGTATTTCTAATAACAGCACTTTATTTCTAAAATAAAATTGGATAACAAAACTTCTTTTAGATAAATAGATCATTTCCTTTAACTTTTTTATGAAATTTCCAGCATGCTGTGTAAGGATTCTGTTTCATCTTATATTGCTTGAAATCAGACTATTGTAATCACAAAAAAGCTTGTCTCTACTTTCATTTTAATTAAACTGGTTTTAAGATATGAAACATTCTCTTAACTTCAGAATATTTCAACAGTAACCAAAATAAATATTTTTTATGCAAACCAGTCTTGCTGCCTTGACAGTTCATATCCTGTTTTTATTTATTGCTCCTATGCTTTCTTTACAAATCTAATAAAATAAATAAATAAACCTTCTTCAGCAGCAGTCATGGTCACCCTTATAAAAAATGGGTTTGAACAAAAGGGTATGTAAGAGTGAACAGAACTAGTTCCAAGATCTTTTTTTCTCTTAAAAGTTCTGCTTATGCTGTATGTTATTGAATTGAATACCATGTTAGCGAAATCGCATAAAGCTATAACAAAAAAGTAAAGCAGAGATGTTTAATTCCTAAGACATCAGTAGGTGGGACAGAGAATATGAATGTGATGTTAAGAAGCTCCAAAGATTTACTATTAGAGGACAGAAATATGGAGGAACAATGAATGAGAACCTGAAACATGTTTCTCATGCATGAAACAGAACTAGAATGATGAAGAGCACATCTTCACAATAGTTGTAAGTTGATCTAAACCTGAAGTCTTTCTTGTCCCCAGCAACCATGTGTTCTGTCCCACTCTTGTGTCTACACCAACAGTCAGATAGACGCAAGAGTTTGGAAGCATTACCCTACTCCAGTAGTTCTAGCAAAAGGAAAGTGGCAGAAAAAATGGAGTCCAGAAAACTTGTTTTTCCCTACCATCTGAGACATGTTCTTTCTAAGACATGCAACCTGCACCTATGTTGCTCTCAGACATTGTAAAGGCTACAAAGTTTATTTTAAAAGACTGCACTTCACATGCACACATGGAAGAAAAAAAAACACAAAACTGAAAAAGGATTAAAAAGAGTTAAAACTTTTAAAGAGGCACCAGCAAAGCTGAACCAGGCCACCTGAAAACAAATATTTAATGATATCAACTTTTTAGAAGATTAAAAAAGACCACAGATTTAAATGACCACTTAAGTGCTCAAATTTGCTTTGGAAAATGTGATTAAGCCATCCAAAATTTTTATCTAACTTAAGTAAAAATAAAATTAAATAAAATTTGAGAAGTACATAATGACCAAGTTCATTATATCTTAAAAGGAATAGATATTATATAAAATGCTTTAAGAATTCTATTCTAGTCTAAGACAATAAATACCATGGTTATATGTCTAGTCAGCTAAGTATTTCCAGGGAAAAGTGTTTCTAACCAGGGCAACAAAAAAACATGTTGGAGGGTTTTTTTTCCTGCAATAAGCGTTCCAAAACATGTAATTCTAAAAAATGCAACAGCAGCAGTCATTTTTCTCCTTCTTAGTAGCTGCTGCAATGCTGTGGTTTTGACTTTCTGCCTGGGAACAATGCTGACAACACCGATGGTTTTAGTCGTTGCTCAGTAACGTTTACTCTGACCAAGGACTTTTTAAGTCTCATGCTCTGCCAGGGAGAAGGGGAAGCCGGGAGGAAGCAGAGACAGGACACTTGACCCAAACTAGCCAAAGACGTATTCCACACCACAGCACGTCATGCCCCCTATATAAACTGGGGGCAGTTACCTGGAAGGGCTAGATCACTGCTCAGGTCGGGCTGGGTATTGGTCGGAAGGTGGTTAGCAGTTGTATTCTCTTCCCTTGAAGATTCCCTGGTTGTTTCCCTTATCATTGTTATTATTGGTGGTAGCAGCAGTGATTTGTGTTATACCTTAGTTACTGGACTGCTCTTATCTCATCCCGTGGGAGTTACATTCTTTTGATTCTCCTCCCCATCCCTCTGGGAACCAGGGAAGGAAAGAAGGGGAGTGAGCGAACACCTGCGTAGTTCTGGGTTGCTGGCTGGGCTTAACCCATGACACTGTTCTAACAGAATTTCTTAACGAAAACAGAACACACTGCTAACATTTCAGAATTAAGAAAATTAAAATATTCGCAATCAATTTTTTTCTTCTCTGTTAGAAAGAAATAAAGAAAAAAAAAACCAAAACTTGAATATACCACAGATCTTTTTAAAAACAAAGTTTTTGCCATCAGTTCTTCAGAATCTAATTGATAAATATCTCTAATTTACCTTGTATATTTGCAGCAGCACATCTGTCCAAGCTCGTTTGCTCATTGTCTCAAATACACTGTCCTCCAGAATTAATAGATGCTTGTTACTGTAGATCTCTGAGATTTTTTCATCTATTTTCAACTCAGACATATGACCCTTCAGATAAAAGAATGGGATTTATTTTTTTTATATTTATTCACAAGAGGACAATAATGAATCAATGGCATAAATGTCTGATAATGTCTACTATAGTGCAACAGTGATCAGCAGCATTAGAACCATTTACAGTTCGCAGCTGTCCCAGGGATAAGCAGTGCAATACAGAGTTGACAGGATTTGAAAACAGCAATAGGACAGAGAAGCAATAGAAAGGATATAGTTAAAAAAAACAGGAAAATCAATAGAAAATAGTAAAATTAATTTTACTTTGAGAAAACACATCTGTTGGAAATAAAGTACAGGTATCAGCAACAGTAGAAGGAATGGAATATGAAAAATGTGTTTGTGCCAGTTTAAATTTCAGTTCAATTTCATGCACATGCTTAGATGTGTGCAACCCAAAACAGTCACCCCAGTAGGAATACTCATGGTCCTCAGTGGACTTTCGTTAATCTTTGAAAGACTGACACTTAGCACACGGTCCTTGTTAAAAAACAAAGAACAAAAAATGGAATGAAACTAACAAACACAAAAGCAAAGCAAAACAAAACAAAAACAAAAAAAAAAAAAACCAAACCAAACCTACCTTAAGTACAGTTTGCTGTATTTTAATCCGTTTCTTATAATCATCAGGTTCAAGCAGAAATTCTGGCATAACATGAGGAAGATATGCTCCATGGCATCTGAAATCATAAAGCAGGAAAAGTTAATAGGTCAGCAAAATAATTCTTTTTAAGAGCTGTCCAAGTTTTTTAACTTACTCAGCCTATGTACAAGCTCTTCTGAGTTTCATTTAAGTGCCCTTTGGACTAATGATCCAGTGCTACTAATTGCTTTGATAGTTTCTATTTATGAAATTCATGTGCCTACAACTAAACGGCTTCTTTACAAGAACTGGTTCTCCAGAAATTATTTATTACAGCACAAAACATCAAAACCAGGTAATACCTATTTCCATGTGAAAGTCAAAAGACCAGTGTTACGTAACATTAGCAGAATTAAAATTTGACGATGCTTCATCTGTCTGCAAGTCTGATGTCAAAAGTCACGAGTGTGAGAAAAGGGATTTCAAAACTCTATCAATTGTTAAACTGACTTGCCATCTGTTCTAAAGTGACTAATAAATTCAATAGGAAAAGTAATGAAAGGCAACTTCAACAGATTGAATACCAAGGAAAGCTAACTTCCACATGAAGAAACACTATTCTTTATTTCAAATGACAGAGTTTAAACAAATGTTGATGGAAAAGGGGGAAAATAATGAAGAACTCTTAAGTTTATTTTTCTCAGGGGAACAGAAAAGTTTCGTGACTTTCAGGTCAGAAAGATTACCCTACCATAGCTAGATTTACATTGTTCTCTGTGATTTTAACATGGCTAATGTGAATAACAATCAGATGAAATTTTCGTGTTATGTAACCAGTCTCTCACTCAGGTGAACTGATCATATTTTTGTGGTACCATACAGTCTAAATTCAATTTACTTCGTACATTAAAAATCATCACATTTTGAAACTAGGATCATGATAACTTGTTTCTCTTCCCACAGAATTATATTTTGCTGGTAAGAGAAAATATTTTTACTCCATATTTTAAACAGTGACATTATCTTTTCAAATTATTGAAATTTCATGTTTCATACAGTTACCCAGTAGGGCTTTTTAAGACACAAATATTTTAATCAAGGTCCCAAAATAATATTAGTAGCCTGGTTCTAAAACTCATCATGTCTGAAATTCACGTTTTCCACTAAAGCATACACTCAGTCCCATGAAATCCCTTTAAAACTTCAGTTCTTCCAAAATTATAAAAGGAGGAACCTATACAACATTCATCTTTTCAGGTATCCTATCTTTCTTTCAGTGTTTTTACTTGGTAGATACATGAGAATAGTATCTACAATAGAATTATCTACAATCTTCATCATCAGAAAAGATGGGTTCTATGTAACTGAATATTCTCAAAATTGGCTGCATTTCGCTATTGTGGAACACCATCTTAAAAAAATTCTCCTTATTAATGTAAATATTTAACACAATACAACGTGGGGATATTTAGATTAGCCATTAGGAAGACATTCTTTACTCTGAGGGTGGTAAGGCACTGGCACAGGTTGCCCAGAAGAGTTTTGGCTGCTGCTTCCCTGAATATGTTCAAGGTCAGGTTGGATGGAGCTCTGACCAACCTGGTCTAGTAGATGTCCCTACCCATGGCAAGAGGATTGGAACTAGAAGATCTTTAAGGTCCCTTCCAACCCAAACCATTCTGTGATTCTATGAAAATTAATTTAGGAGGAATTCTAATGTAATGACATAAAATCACAAAATCGTTTGTGTTCCTGGATTTCTTGTCTGACTGCCTCTTTGTTGGTACTCATTACTCCTGAGCTTGGATGAGGTGAACTGTGAATATTAAACAGCTTTCTTAGGCTCCTTTTATCTCTTCTCTGTTTCACAGCAACAACAGCAAAGAAGGATGAAAAGAGTTTATTAACTTTTTTTTTATTTGTACCATCTCTGACAGTTGTTCCATATTATGTGACAAGGTAAGATTATCAGTGAAGGTAGCTAATAGCTACATCCGTTGAGCAACAGGAGTAGTGCTTCCATTTCTTGCCATATCATTAATTTGAAAGACTAAGAAATGACAAGATAAGTCTACAAATTTTTTGTTAAAGCCAGTAACTATAGGACAAAGAGCATCAGTGGAATGGTGATCATTAATGACAAACCTGATAGGACTATCTAGTTAGTCTGTCTAAGGACTGAGGTTAAGAGTCATCTTCTTTCATAATTAAGGAAGCAGAGCTCCTGTGAGATTCCTGTGTTACATACACCACTATCACAGGACACCTCAATTAGTGAAAACTGCAGAGGATAACCTTGGAGGAAAAATTGGTATTTTTAGTAAATTTGGTAAATAGGAACCCTTGTTAAAAAATTTCTAAGACATAAATTTTAGATCACAAAAGTATAAGGGAAACCCTAAACTTCTGATATATTGTTCAGTTGGAATTATGTCTGAACTATGCTAATAAAAAAGTGGAAATATGCATGCACATTTTATCACATATCTACTTACTTAAGGAAAGCAAGCAATATAGAGTGCTGGCAGTGGAGCTGTAACATTCGTTCAGTTGGATCAAGGATCAATGCTTGGCTCGGTGTAATGTCTGGTAACAATTGTCCACTCAAATGGAATAGCATGTCATAAACAGTCTTAGTATCTTTCTCACGGTTTTGTTTAAAAACCTTGTCTTGTGAAGACGTTGTCTGGACTCTGCACACATCACTAAGGGAGAAGAACGCACAAAACAAGCTAACACTATATCATGATGGCAAACATGATGAACCATGAAGTAAAAACAGCACCAAGAAGGATGGAAAGTATATCACTTTTTTCTTTTTCCAGAACTTTTATAATAATGTAAGAATTTTGCACTGCATGGAATAATTAATAAATATATGTGAAATATTTAGTAAATATATGCATTTGTCACTTCTTTCTGCCAACATAACTTTGATTTCTATCATATTTATAAATGTCTATGTGTTTCTGTCCTAAAAGAGTAGCTTCTTCATTATTTAGTAGCAAGCTAGGTAAGATCAACTAAATGATGCCACTGATATATTTCCAGAGTGTTTGCAAGAATGTTGATTATGAAATTTCCTTTCCCGTCAGTTTCTTAATCTTTAAAGTAGAAGGGGAGATGGGGGGGGGGAAGACATATTGTTAAGACACTTATTGATGCCATCAAAGATGGGAAAATTGCTAGAACTGTGCTCATTCTGGGAGAAGAATCAATTTCAGTTAAGAGGGTGACATATAGTTTGAACTGCATATTTAACATACTCTGCATTATAATATAACAGAGCATCATAGTTCAAAATATATTTTAGAAAATGAAAAATAACACCCGAGTAACATTTTCATATAAACAGCACACAGATGCTGCAATTTTAATATATAACTGTGCATTAGAATGCATTTATATTCCTCAGATCATATCCAAAACACTTTAGTATATATGTTAACATTTTATAAGGCAGACATAAGTTAGCTGTAAGCAGATATGAATTACCGTCTCAGTGAATATGGTATTGAAATAGGATTTTGTCCCTTAGACCAACCAAAGAGAGTAAACCAATTCTTAACAGCAGTTAGGGTTTTCTGAAAGAAGATGTACTCCTCTTGATCTTCACTGGGAAAAAATGAAAATTTATTTTCTCTTTCTTCTCTTTGACTGCCAGTTTCATTACTCTCTTCAATCATTTCATCACTCTCAGAAGAATCAGATTCTAAATGATACAGAAAAAATAAAAAGAAAATATCCAGAGAGATTCCCTATTTCCCTAGTTTTGTCTAGTACAAGAACAATTATTATTTTTAAAACCATAATGGCTTTCAGAAAGTAAAAGATTATCAGACAACTACTGATCAATTTTTTCAAGACTAAACAATTTATGTAACATGAACATGTTTTGGAAATAGAACAAATTATATTCTTGGACTCTAACATAATTTAAAGAAAAAAATATCACCCAAACAAAAATAGATTCAGCTATGGCTTACGAAACCACAGCAATCTTAAAAAAAAAGTCTTACACATATAGTTCCAGTAGATACAGCTTTTCCAGCTAGACAACACTAGTTCCCCTTCTCTCCCTCACAGTCACATAGCATAGCTCAATACCTGGCTTCTGTTCAGCTTATGAGGTAATGTATAAGTAAAGCTAAACCTACATCCCAATCTATAAGCCTTCAGACTTTTCTCTCCTCTATTCAACCTCCTTTCTCCTAAATTCTGACCTGGTCAAAACTTAGATTATCTATTTTAACAAGTAGTAGTTATCAACAACATCATCAACAACAACAGTATTGCATAAAAAATAACTGAAAAATACAATCATTCTATAAGCCTTCAGACTTTTCTCTCCTCTATTCAACCTCCTTTCTCCTAAATTCTGACCTGGTCAAAACTTAGATCATATATTTTAAGAAGTAGTAGTTATTAACAACATCAACAACAACAGCATTGCATAAAAAATAACTGAAAATACAATCATTCTCCTTGTATCACAAAAAAAACTTAGATGATTCCAAACTCAAAGGTGTGATTTAACACCACTGTTGCAGTTTTAATATTTCAGTAAATGATGAAAAAATAAAACTAATACCTTAGATAATAAATAAAAAAAATTCTTAGAATTTAAGAAGAAAAAATATGCAATATAAATAAAGGTTGCTTATAAGGATACTGGGAAGGGACTCTTCATTAGGGACTGTAGTGATAGGACAAGGGGCAACGGGTTAAAACTTAAACAGCGGAATTTTAGACTGGAGATAAGGAGGAAGTTCTTTACTGTAAGGGTGATGAGGCACTGGAATGGGTTGCCCAAGGAAGTTGTGAATGCTCCATCCCTGGTGGTGTTCCAGGCCAGGTTGGACAGAGCCTTGGGTGACATGTCTTAGTGTGAGATGTCCCTGCCCATGGCAGGGTGATTGGAACTTGATCATCTTAAGGTCCTTTCCAACCCTAACTATTCTATGATTCTATGACTCTGAAGAGACTTTATAAGATCACCATGCAGACCTCAGTTTGTGCAGTTCTGTGGGCTCACAAGATTACTTGCCCCATCTTGTCACTGCCACCTTTGCACAGCCTTTTCAGATCTGAAACCCAGTTGCTATTTTGAGCTCTTATTATACCATTCCATTAAAAATTAATCATGTCGGCAGAGCTACTATTTAACCTGTTTTACTACCCCTATTTGTCTTGATAAATCAGGTATTGACTTGGTAAATTCATCTTAGAGAATGACACAGAAACATCAGCAGATCTGCAAGAGTGGAATACTAACAGTGAATGAAACACCAGCAACTTCAGCTGTTCTAACTTCCTAGTTAGAAAACTAGCAGCTGAAAGAAGAGGTATGTCAACAGACTCAGATACTAGTCATCTGACAACCTTACAGAAGATCTATTACTCTTAGTTCCTACGGAACAGCACCATAACTGAGACCCCACTGACAATGGTTAGATTTATACAGTACTCCATAAATGCATTATAAATGTGGAAGTCTAACCTGAGCATACAACTAGACATTTGCAGAACACAGCATTTTTCTGGGCCCCTCACTGTAAGAGAGATACTGAGTTGCTGGAGCAGGTCCAGGGAAGGACAACAGAGCTGGTGAAGGGTCCAGAGAATAAGTCTTATGAGGAATGGCTGAGGAAACTGGGTCTGTTTAGTCTGGAGAAGGCTCAGAGAGACCTTACCGCCCTCTACAACTACCTGAAGAGAGGCTCAGTTGAACAAGGTAGGTGTTGCTCTCTTCTCCCAAGTAACAAGTGATAGGACAAGAGTTAACACCCTCAAGCTGCAGCAGGGGAGGTTTAGGTTGGATATATGGAAAAATTTCTTCACCAAAGGGGTGATCAGACATTGGAACAGGCTGCCCAGGGAAGTGGTGGAGTAGCTTGGTTAGCTCATGCCTACAGACACAATGCCCTTCTTTGCAACAAGTGCCTTAGGTTTGCATAGTATTTAATTGCTCTGCTGGCATCTCTGCTCATGTGTTATTGCAAATAGGACCTTGATATTGTTTGGGTTTTTTTGTTTTGGGGGCTTCTTGGAGGGGTTTTTTGGTTTTGTCTTTTAGTGGTTTGACTGGTTTCCCGTAAACATAATCTGTTAACAGGAAGGAGAGTCTTTACCTGCATGGCCAGGTTTCCCATGGTGTCACAGGAGAGAACAGCCTCCCCAGTATTCATTGATTATACATACAAAAGCATTGTTTACAGATGTGAAAAATACCTTTTTAAAACAATAAGCTGAAAAACAGTTGCAACATCTCAAAGTGTTTAAGAGGAACAGTTGCGCTCTACCTGATTCAGAATCTTCATAGCTTGTGTCAGTGGTTGCACAAAAGGTACTTGAGGAAATACTACGGGCAGGTGATGGTGAAGTAAGGAATGGATGCAGAACAACTTCACTACTGTGGCCCTTGATGTCTATAAAACAAGATTACAAGCTGCATTTGAGCAAACATATTTTATTGTCTCTGTGTTCTAACAGTTTATAAACAGATATCTGCTTCTATATTTTTCTACTTCATTCTTCAGTTTAAGAAGTAACAGTTCTCATTTGACTGATGAAAACCTTATATCAGTCATTAGACCTGACACAAAAAAAAATAATAAAAAAAAAAAATTGCATAGCTTTTTCTATTAACTGTATATTTTACAGCCTGGGTCTCCATACTTGCTGAAAAAACACCTATCAGAACAGACCTAATTCAAGAATTCTAAGTCGTGAACAAAATATTCTTAAGGAATTTTTAGTCACAGCTCTGTAATGAGTCTCCATGTACTATTATCAAGCTCTTTCAGACTCAACAACACATATTTTACAAACTCAAATGTATGATTTATCAATCCATCAGTTCTGTCAGAATATATGTCAGCCTTTGATAGGATTAGAGGACCCTATTCTAGCTATCTCTGATGTCATTCTCCAGAACAAGAGTAGAAGGGGAATCCAGTGTAATTTCTAGAGAAGTAAATGCACCAGTAATATAAGGAAGAGCTCTGTATGCTTATCTTTAATTTCCCATTACTGGCACCGTTATTAGTGTGGTTTGGAGCAAGTAACACAAGAGCATTGTGTCAGATATGTGGAGGCAAAGCTCCCCTGAATAGCTTTCCAAGCCACTGTGTTGTACAGATATGGTTTGGTCACATTAAATAGTCTATACAAAACCTACAAAATAGACTCAAGCAAATTAGTGGAAGTTATTTGCTTCAAAACTGATAGTGGGACCAAACCAATAGGCAATCAGTACAGGACAGAAATACTCATTACTAACAGGTGGTCAGTTATTCTAAAGCCATCACTTCATTTTTGTGTTAATGCTCAAGGGAAACCTACAAAGCATCTTCAAAAGACAAGTTGCAAAAATGATCTATTGATCACAAAAAAAAAAAATCACATTTATGAGAGATAATATTTTCCCCTTTGCTATCTTCATTTAATTGTGCTACAATCCATGAATGGTATATTACCTATACCTATCTTATATATGAAAAAAAAAAATATATGTATATCATTACCTGTCTTCTTGCTAACCCCTTTTTCAGCTTCAAAGTACAAACTCTCTTTATTCTTAGATAGCCCAAGTAACACACAAAATATTTCTAATCTCTGATCACAGGCTTTTATTGGGCATAAAAATGTGACTTTATCCTCCAGCCTTCAAGGACAGTAATTAAAAAAAAAAACAAACTGAAAACTATTCCCAACAGGCAAATAACAATCACTTTTTATCATAACATTATGTGGCCTGCTATTCTGCTTTCTTCAATACATACCCAACTGTTGTCCTAGGAATAACTGAGGATCACTATCAATATCATTTTAATTATATTAGTTTACTCATTATTGTTTGGGCTGTTTTCTCATACTTTAAAAACTTCACAAAACATTCCGTAGGATTTAGGTTTGCCCAATATTTTTAATAAACATTACCTAATCATACATATATATGTTTTCCTCATTTTCAACAAGAAAACAGAAGCTATTAAACTGCTTTAAAAGTTTAATTGCATTATCCCCTTGTAATTAATGATGAAAAATACTATGTTAATGATAACATCCCTGTTATTATACTAAAAACATTGCAAATAGCACTGGACATGATATAAGTTTAAGAAGTAGTGTGTTAACTGCTTACCGCTTCTCAAGATAATTTGTTCATCAGAGCAGTTAACTGCAAAATATGGATATAAAGTAAGAAGGCAATTCTCCGCTGTTGCAGCAACTTGAATTTTGAACCTGTTCAAAATAAAATGCAAAAAACAATAGTTTCAATTTAGCTTTGGTAATTGAGATATTTCAGCACAAGCATTTAAGAGAGAGAATTAAGGTGTCCAGACAATTCTCCTATTCTGGTTCAGTAGGAGAGTACACAGATGGGACTGCACATGCCAATATAGTGAAGACTAGTAAAGTATGTCCACTTCATAATTTTGCTATGAGCATGAATGTATTATTAATCTGAAAACTTTAGAGCTAGCAGAGATTTCATTAAATAAATAACCTAATAACCTCTGACTCTCTGAAAAGAAAAAAGAATTAAATTACAGCTAACATTTAGCTGTAGGAGGAGACAGCTAACTTGCTAAATATATCCTATAACTTTTGATAGGGGAAGTCTTCTTGAAAAGTAATTCTGACTTTGATTTAACATTCTATAAGACTTTACTGAAATATCAAAACAAATATCTGGAAATTAATAGATTCAACTTGAAAACAATGAGATATTGACTGCAATTACTAGAATGCAATAGAAATTAAAGTACATGCTCCAGTGTTCACTACTGTGAATATATTAATATGGCCATAGCCATATTAATGTACAACAATCCACCTTATAACCTGTTTGTTGTACATCCCCTCAGTCTCTCAGGGTGCAATCAATGTGCAAACTATTGCCAGCAATAGATCCCTGTTAGCCATTTGCATTTATGTTCTTAACTCACTGCAACTGACAGGTAATTCTATTGAGCTTTGTCCTATGTTTACACAGCTGGTTATTTACTATACATTAACTTATTAACTAGCATTAACATTCACAAACTGTTTTGTTTAAGCTGTCAAAATAGAAAGAAAAATGTATTTTAACAATTCAAACAGCATGCTGATAACTGTCTTGCTTTGATGTATTAAGAATAACGCATATGGAAAATATACATTCCACAGAAGAAAATAGTATGTTTCCTATTATTTAAATTACATATTGAAGGATAATTTCCTATTTAATGTAAATTTAGATTAATAGTAAAAGATACCAAGAGACCTTACAGACTTATTTATATGATGTAATTAGCTTCTCCTGCTTTGATACAGTGTATGATAATAATCAAGGAAAACAAAAATGTTTTTAAAGTTCCTGGGTTTACACCAGAAAGTAACTTTTCTTTCCTCTTTCACACTTCTCTCTCCATATACAACATTCTTAGATACTGATTTCAGGGGAATTCTATTAAATAGAAAAAGGCTCCAACAAAATCCATAGCCGTGTTTCTGATTTGTAAATATTCATATCTGGATTTCAATTTCATAGCTAATAGTTATTTAAAACAATAATCCAGCTCTGCAATGTTTTGGGTTGTTTGTAGGACATGTGAATCCTATTGGAACCTGGCTGGGAGTGGGGCAAGGACCTTAGCCAGTTTCACCTCTTAGCATAGTAATTCTTTTAGCTAACTTCCTGCTTTCTGCTTTTATCCAGCAAAAATCTCAGCAACAGGCCATCAGCAGGACACACAGCTGTCAAAGATATATCTATATGTATGAAATGTACATCCTCAAGCCAGGTGTCACTTTTTCTACCTTCATCAAGCCATTTGAAGACAAACAGGGTCAATAACACAGAGCTCACCAACTTCCAGTCACAACATTACTGTGATAAACAACAATTCTCACTACTCTGCAGGTGTACATTAGGTTAACTTCACCCAACAGAATTGAGGCAGGGGTGGAAGAAAGCTGCATGCATGTTAATAAAACACATAGCTCTCAAATTATGTGAAAGTAACTGAATGTATTATCGAACTCAGTCAACTTTCCAGTTTCTTAGTGTGGGGTAAGCACCTCAGCTATCCATCCTAAATGCTTACTTGAGATTTGGGCATATACCAAATCTTCATTCATGCTCTGATTTGCACAGTAGCAAAACAGAAAAGTGTGCTTGAGAACAACTGCAGCACATCATGAACTAGTTACCAAATGCAATAGGTGATACTACTCAAAGCAAACAACCTAGAATATAAAGAACTGCAATTGCTACAGAACATCTGTGTACAAATAAATGTCTCAGACCTCAAAATGCCACTGCAAGAGAAGCTCCTCCTTGCTTAATCCAGCTAGCAATCCAACAAAGGCAGATCTCCTTGGCTGCTGTGGTATTATAGTAAGAGAAATTAATACACCCAGCCAATAGCAAATGCATATATTATTAGCTGAAAAACTCAGAAGCTTTAGAGTGCTTACAAGATGAAAAAAGATTGGATGGTGAAGCACCTGTGCTGGCTGAGCATGAGCTGTGAAGCAACATCACAAACCTGCAAGTGATAGTCATGAGTAACTGCTACAGGCAACAAAGAACCCCAATTACCAGCCTGACCTTTCATCTAGGGAGGTTCGCTGCATGCCTACAGCTTTAATGCAGGATGCTTTTGAGAGACTGATGCAACTTTCTGATCTTTTGCCCTGCCACTCTTCCAGATAAGCACCAGTGAAGCTGATGGGGAACAGCTGACCTGGGACATATCAGACATAACTGCACGGCCTTGGGAGCAATAATAAGGGAATGGGGCACAGGTGGTCTTCAATCATGTTGGTGAGGAAAAAGAGCTTAAGGATGAGAAGATGGATCCTGCAAGTCAACAACTGGTTCTCCAGCTGATATTGACAGCAAGGATTTAGCTCCTGTGACAGTGGGTTTGCAGTGGCTGCAGTGACTATGATTCAGAAATCTAAAAGGAAGGAAAAAGGCAAAAAGCCATTATCACAACCCTGTAATTCCAAAGAGCAGACTTTGGCCAGCAAAGAGCCACAAGGATGAATGGACGGAAGAACCCATCATAAAGGGAGAGACAGAATCGTGAGTGTTCAGTCTGGAGAAGGCTCAGGAGGATATTAACTACATGTAGAAATATCTGATTTGAGGGAATACACAAGATGGAGTCAAACTCAGCTATGTTCAGTGACAGCACAAAAGGCAATGGGTACAAATTGAAAATACAGGGTTATTATAATAATATAATAATAGAATATAATGCTTAATAAAGTGAAATATTTGCGATCTACATGAACCATTATTGCCATTATTGTCTCTGCTAATGCATATTTCCAAAGAACACAAAACTGGAAAATGGCCATTAAATATGTTGTTTACCAACATTAGAAACCTGCTGATCATCAAAAAACTAAGGCTCCAACTATGATGAAAAAAAAAGCAATCCAACACTCTATATAAAAGCAATTTGTTTATTTCTTTTAAATTAACTCTGATTATTTTGGTTTTGTTGTTTTGTTTGGGTGTTTAATTTTTTTTGTTTGTTTTAATTTTTGTGGGAACACAAAAGAACATAAATCAAAACATTTCGTCCTTTTTATTTTGCTCTATAGCATTTCAGACATTTTCTAAATAGAAACAAGTGATTTGTCTTCCATCAGTGTATCCCAAATCCTCTAGAAATACAGGCACAGATAAATAACCCTTCAACAATATTAACAGATGCAGTATATACAATCATAGGAATAGTTAGGGTTGGAAAGGACCTTACGATCATCTAGTTCCAATCCCCATGCCATGGATCACTAACAGTTTCCAAAGAAAAAGAATCCAAACCCATTAGGATCTAACTGACAAATTTCTTTAACAAAATTGCAAAAATATTTAAGGGACGCTCACACTGCTAGTTTATGAAAAAAAACATACTGATTGTGGAATTGATTAGGGCCAACAGGAAACAATGTGAGCGTGAGGCATTTTGCATGTCTTCGTGAAGAAGGAATAACCTAGTAGCAAGGGAAAAAGAAGGTGTAATTTAAAAGTAAGTAAATAAAGACCTGCCCTCCTCCTTTCCCACAAAAAAAAAAAAAGAACAACAACAACAAAAAAAAAAATCCTTGCACAGATCCAGAGACAACAGAACTGGAATGAAGAGAAAAAGACGACCCATGCAAGCTCTGCCACTTCTGCTCACAAATGAACAGTTCCCCAACACTGAGGAGCCCTTATCGTTTGCAACAGGAGCTCAGGCTTCCACAGCAATCAAAATAATATAATACTGAACAATGACAGGCACATGGTTTCACATGATATACAAGACTTTTAGCTGGGAAAATAGCCATCTTTTTTCTAGTAGCAGCAATAATGTCAGTTTTTTATTCAAGAATAACAGACATTTCAGCTGGCAGGGACCGTCAAAACTGTAGAAAGGCACAAGCACAGGAAAGAACATGAGTGATTAATAAGTTTGAGCCATCCTGATGTTCAAAAGCACTCCCAACTGTCTGAAGTAAAATGCCAATATATTATTAGGTCAGATGAATGCAGCAAACAAGCATGCAAATATCTACCTCCCTGCTCTCTCCAAATTTGAATGACATTAATAGAAACTGACAGCCCTTATTCTCCAAGATATGCCAGCAGAATACATGCATTTGAAATTTGAAAGCAGTGCTATTAAAGAGCTGCATGGTTTAAGCACATCTCCCAACAGCAAAAGGGAAAAAACTCCTTCTATGAGACAAAGAGATCTCACTTCATAACTGGGTACGTTTTAGTGATGGTGTCTCAGCTGCATTATGTCCTCGCCTTCTGACATTCCAACCACAAAACACAAATAGCATCAGAAACTTAATGAGTTTCCCCAGGTTCCCAGTGGGAGAGGAAAAGAAAATGGAGAAATGTAGAACATGGGAGGCAAAGACCTCAGCACACTTCTGTCACCAATGATCACAGCAATTCAGCTACACAGCACATGTGAGGGTTTTTGGTACTTTGGTGCCCAAAGCACCATTTTCTCTGATTGTACAACAAAGTATGCACCTGTTTTTTACTACCTATCTTTTACAAAGAATAAGTTAAATGTAATTTCATTCAGGTTGGCAGAAGCCTTTTTTTCCTGTTAAATTATTTATCTAATCAGCAAATTAAAAAATGTGATAACAATTAAAGAACAAGTATAAAAACATGCCATGTTTGCAGAGGTTTTTTTTGGTTTATTTTTTTCAAGTTTAAGGAAATAAGTGTCATAGCTGAATATTTCTTCCCATTTATTAAGTACTTGCTTAATATATTCTTGAATTTTCTGTTATCTTTTACTTCTCTATTACTATCGGCCCCATACAGGGATATGTCATTTATTCTGTTTTGGAGTCAAAGAAGCAAAAAGGAAGAATAGAGATGAAAAATAACATTAAAAATAAACTGCAAATTCTCATTAAAGGCAGTCACTAAACAAATATTGATGCACTTTCTTATGAACTATTTAGTGGAATTTGCGCACACAGTCAATTACTTGCACAAATGACAATCATGTATCTCAAGTTTTCTTTTACAGGTACATATAGCATGGTTTTGCTACAAAATATGATTGCTTATCTTCTTTCAAATGTTTTTTGCAATGTAGACAAATTCAACAGTATCTATCCTCTATCAGTGTTCACTTTGATTTAAAGGAAAAAAAAGACATTATTATTTAGATGGACTTAATATGAACAACGTGAATCAATCCTACTGTAGTTTTAGAAATGAAAAGCAAAACATTGCACAGCCTAAGTAAAAAAAGACCAAAACACATAATTCATCTCATCAGTACTCATGCTTTTAAATATGCCTAGAATTAAGTTTTGCTTAGAAGTTAAGCCTCCTCTTCTAAGTGGTTAAATACAGGACATGATATTTTACTAACATATGAAAATAACTTTTTAACTCACTTATTTACACTCCAGAACAAAGAATAGGAGATCAAAATTTTAGTTCAAATCATTTCAAAATACATATTATTACTTTGAAAATTGAAATATAAGGAGAGAATAGCTGACAAATTAATACATCCTCTGCAACTGATACTATGAGATTTCACAGCCCATTAAACAAACCAGGAGCCTATCCAAGATCAGTTAGCTTTCATAGGTCTTATAAAAGGTTACAGTTTCATTGTTTTATCATGAAAGATCTATAAGGCCTCAAAATCTTGCCGTCCTAAAAGATTTCTCTCCTGGAAGACTCAAATTAACAAAGCAGATTGAATTCATTAGTTACACAGTTTGAAACAAACCACTCAAATGCTTAGCTAATTAGTTGAATTGGGTTTGAAGTTTGAATGCATTTCATAGGTCTCCCATGGGGGAAGGGGCTGGGAAGAATGAGGATATGCAGATAAAAAGAAATTGCAGCTACAGATTACTACAGATTGGAATATCAAAGCACGTAATATTATTAACACTAGTAACGAAACCCAAGTCTGGATAAATTATCAGATACTTTACTTAGAACAACAATATGGTCAGGATTAGAAAAATTAGACACTTAGACTTTCCTAACTGAAGAAAAGTATTCTTTCTGGTTATGACTGAAAAAAAAATTTCTAAAAGACAATATGAATAATATTACTACACTAACAAATAGCACATATGGAATCCCTTTGTTTTGGATGGTGTGCTATTGCACCCACTTACATGCAGGCTTTTACAGCCCACACACGCACGCAACTGACTGACAGGAAATCACATATGCATTGTCAAGCCAGTGTTGTTAGTTCTATTCTGTAACAAATAGCAATCTACTATGTTTTAAAATACAGCAACAATTTTAAAATTATGTGACATTTCAGACCCTGAATTTTTTTGCTTTGCGAGCATGGATGTCACAATCTTAAGATTTAAGATTACTTTGATGACTTTTCAAAAACACATTGAGTTTGCCTTTACATTGAAGATGGTATCTTTTATTTCTTTTTAATAACAAATATAGGAAAAAAGTTTATTACACATCAGAAAGGATTGTTTATCTGTAACAAGGTTTGAGAAGCTGCTAGTGCATCATATCAAAACAGTTATTATAACTAAATATTATGCCTATTCAGATGCATATTTTAGAACTCATCGTAAGCTTAAGTTATCCTTTTCTCATAATTACTGCAAGACTTATCACAAATTTATGAATCACATCCCACACCATGATTAAATCTTAGAATTAAATAAAATGAATAAGAAACAGATTCCTGGCTGACAATCTATACATGAAAATACTAATCCAAAGCAAGCAGCAGTAACTGAAAGGTCCACAATCCTTGCATCAAAATAATATAAAATTTAGTTTTACACACAGTAAAAAGCCCATTCTAAGCTGGAGGATGGAGATATTTAACCCTCAAAATAGCTGCTTTACACGAAAATAGTAACTGCAGGTATTACTTTTAATCACAATAATACTTATCTTTCCTCATCATGTATACACCGATTCATGCCACAAAGGGAAGAGATGAACAAAGGGATAAATGCTGAAAATAGTTATTTTTGCACAGAACATTCAATAACAGATTTGATTTCCATTCACTAGGGGCAGAGGGACCTTTTGCATTGCTTTTCAACGTTCTCACTTAAAAAGCAGCCTACTACTATAAAATCAAAGCAAGATGCATGAATTTCACATTTGCATATGTCTTCATCACTAAATGGTGTTTTAAAGACATGCATTTTGATATGAACACTGTATATAAATTGCTATCAAACCCTAGGTTTTCTGTCCTTAAGGAAATCAAGTCTAACAGGAATCAGACTGTGTAAATTCCTAAGTATTCTTCAGATGATTATATTAAAAAAATAAAAATCAGTACTTTTGAAAACTTTAAATGCTTTCTGACTTAGTGTGCAGGATTGCATCTGAGGAAATATATAAAATACATAAATAAATATCTATCAATGTAAAGCACATCTGTCCCTTATGCCTTCTCTTTCATAATTCCCACTTCTGATACTGATGTCCTGGAAGTCCCTCTGCAGCAGTGCAGAAAACACTGAAGAGCCCAGCACAGAGGGAAGGAGAAGACAGCAACAGTTTTCCATACTTTGCTATCCAGTCTGTGTCTCATATATCAGAAGTATGTAGGACAAGACAGTATCTTGTATACTTCTCGTACAGCAAAGTGTGGTCCGAAGATGAAATATATTCTTAGTGTACTTTTATCGATTCCTAGCTTTACACATTAAAAAAAGATGAGCAATATCCATCCATGCAGTTTTGGTTACCTGTCTGTTGAAATGATTGTTTTTTATCTTATGCTCCAAAGAACGCCTTCACTGAGATCAGGAGTTGGCCTCCTTTTTATTCATGAACCAACTGTTTCCCTATAGAGCTAGTCAAAGATACTGCCCTGTCCCTTGCAAATTTGGAAAAAAATAAAAAACAAAAATAAAAAAATAAAAAATGACAGAAGCATTATTACAGTAATCACTTAATAGTTACCAATTCCTGTCTTGGCATACACACAAAGTGCAACGTTATTACAGACATTGCAGAAAGAACTAGCGATCAGGAAATGCAGCTGAGGATACAAATTTATAGCAGGCTGTCCTGCTCTAGAAAGCTTAAAAACAGAGAACATAAATCCACAGAAAGAAAAGTATTAAGGTATAACAATAAGACGAGTTAAAAATGACATTTAAAAAATAAACAAAAACACCAAAGAAATGGGACATACATACACACACAAAAAAAAAATGAATAATAAAATAAAATAAAAAAATAAAATAAAATAAAATAAAATAAAATTAAAATAAATAAATAAAATAAATGGTAGCAGTACAGTGCACAGGGAAAAAAAGACCAATAACATGGAGAGCAAAAGACTGAAGAATGGTGTGTAGGTATAGAAGGAAGAAAGGATGTCCCTTCAAAATAAGACTGGAACATGCCCTTTGCTGGTTCCTCACAAAATGAAATTCTGATTCCCAGTCTAACTCCCCCTTGAAAAGTATCCTTCATTTTACTCTGAAACTCAGAGGCCCAGGAATGAATAAACCACATGTATAAATAATAATCATATGAATAAATTGCAAATATCCTCAAGAAAGAAACAAAAAATAAGAGAGAGAGGGAAATGGAGGGAAGGGAGGGAAGGAAGGGAAGGAAGAAGAAGGTAAGGGGGGAAAGGGGGGAAAGGGGGGAAAGGGGGGAAAGGGGGGAAAGGGGGGGAAGGGGGAAAGGGGGGAAAGGGAGGACTCTTGGGCAGTTCCACATTGTACAGATAAGTCTTTAAAATAACCAGAAACTCCTACTTTGAGACAGTACTTGCTAAGTTACTCAGTCACCTATTGAATTCTTTGGTACCAGAGGAGCAACTAAAGCTTTGTTGGACTAATGGACTAATGAACTAATCCTTTGCAAGACCACTCCCCTGCAACTTTGTAAAGATTGCAAACAGGTGATGAGAACCACTAGCTCTTCCAGATGCCAGGAAACTCTAAATCAGTCACAAACATTTTTTTAAAAAAATGAAACATAGGAGAAAGTCTCAATGAAATAAAATTTCACAGTTTGGCTCAATCCAAAATCAGACAATCTCAAAATCCAGCATGGAATGGAGTGGAAGATTTTAACAGGGTAGTTTTCAAAAACCAAAATATTTTGTAATAGAAAACATTGGGATTCGCTGCATGAAGACCATGTTGCTCCAAAGCAATCTGAGAAGGGCGAAATAAACATCAGAATTAGCAGTAGATATAAATGGTGTACAAGAACTTAAGATGGCCACTTAGATAAATCTTACCTTAGAGACCAAAGCTGAACTTTGTTGTTGGGGGAGGCGGAAAAAAAAAAAAAAAGCAAAAGTCAGTTCTGTTTCTTTTTTGTTTCCAGAATGACTCTTGTGTCCCTTTTCCCAACCAGTATGAGTCCTGTGTCTTATATCCAATGTTGTCAGTTTAGACTGTGCCCAAAATGAATTTCAATTGCACACATTACCTGTTTTCTTCGTCATCAATGAAGCAGATATCCCCTGAAAATGACACTGGCCTAGATGATATGAAGCTGATACGACAAATTAGTTCCCTATTTGTGCCATCTGAAGAAAGAACAGTATCTTGTCCTGAGAACTGTACAGAAAAAGGGTAAATCCTTTCACCATCTTCGAGTTCAACCTCTGGAAGTTCAACTTGAATTCGTGATTGCCTGAGTTAAAAATAAACAGTAGTTATGTTTGGGCTCACAGGATGACAGTAATAAAGTTTAATTCACAGGTTCATATGTTTATGAAACTTTTTCACAGCTACATACAGAATAATAACTTGAGTTTTGAGCTATAAATCGAGTTAAACTAAAGGATTATTATTCCTTTAGCATTTATATGCTAGTTTGTTTTCCACATGTGTCTGAATGTTTCATACCAACCTACAATAGTTCAACATCTAAATGAAGAGCAATTTCTACTAAGAGCATAAATATTACTTCCTTACCTTAGATTTCCTAAACTTAAAACTTTCACTGATATTTATTAAATTGCATTATTGCGTAACAGTTAAGGCAATTTTTGAAATAGAAATATTAAGGGGAAATTCATGAACATACTTAAGATGCTTTCCCCAGATGTGTAACTTTAAGTTCCAGTTCTAAAATGAGAAGGGCAGTCAGTCAAGACCCATATGAAATCCTTTCAGTTCAGTACTGATTTACTGATATTAGAGAAATAACTTTATATTACAACTCAAACAAAATATAATAATAATAATTTGAAAACAAATTTAATTAATGTACAGCAACTTAAAGAGATTTCCTGCAAATCTTCAGGTATTAAAATTATATGTACGTAAGCATAACAAACTAATGTTACTGGTCTTTACTAACTGCAAAGTCGTATCTTACCCAACAAACACGTACACAAGACTGTTTCAAAAGACTGAAATACTAAGATCTCTACCATATTGGAATAGGCATGTTGCTGAGTTATGCTATATAATACGAAGATTATAAAAAGTCTCTCTTTTCAATTCAAGTAACAGGATAAAGTGGGTGATCTAAAGAAAAATTTAAAATCTATAGATAGTTTATTATATTAAGTGACAGGTACAAAAAAAATGTGCTCTCATCTTCGGTAGTAAAATCTTGTTTAGGAAAATAAAAGCAAAACAATACAAAAAAAGAACCATGACCCCACCAATTGTCTAAACAACATCTAGATTTCAATGCAGTGCTTTATAACTGATGGAGTAGAAAACAATAGAAATATTTTATCAGATCACAATGTGAAGAAAACAAATAAAACTATGATCTTAGTAACAGCTAAATTCAACAAAAAATCCTAGAACTCTCTTTTTCAGTTTTGTGCTATTCAAAGTAATTTTAAAAGCGTGTAACAGATTAAATCTCCCAGAAGATGGTCACTTCATGAAGCAGGAATATTTCGAGGACGGAACATGAGCTTGTTGAATGTACAGCAACATCAGTTACATGAATTTTCTCTTAAATATGCAGACTCCTCTACTGAGCAGAAAACCAATAGTAACCTTCACTAACAAATTAAGAAATTCGTTTTGAATTTTTTTACCTTATATAATCTTGTGGAATGATACTGATGGCTGTTTCAGTTTTTACATCCAGAGGGACTGGCATCAGCATTAAAAAGGGGGGATCAAAGTATATTTTTGGTGACTTCACAGTGCCAGACAATGTTATTTTGTAATGTGATGGATTATCATCTAGACAAAGTGACATTTCAGATACGTATGTCCCAGGACAAGCTATAAAAAAATAAAATAAAATAATAAAATAAAATAAAATAAATCAAATAAAAAGATGTATGCATATATATAACCACAAACGTGCAATTAAAAGAGTTTGGAGAGGTTTGTGGGGAGAGGGAGGTTGACTGGTTTCTTAAAAAGTCATTGGTCTTGCTTTCTTCCTCAAAACGTAGCTTAACATACAGTAAATACTGTATTCTGATACAATTGTATTAGAAGAACTATTTATTAAGAAAGCTTATAACCCTTGCCTGTAGGAAACCAGAAATCCATATTTTGTTTAATTTGACCAAAATTTTTCAAAGTGTGAGTTCTTAATTTGTTGTATTAATTGTTTTTATATAACATCAATGTAATGAATTTTAAGAATTGCAGTCATATGTTACACTAATGAATACAGAAAATGCTAATTTTATAAAGGAATAAATACCAGAAGAATCTGACTTTCAAGGCAAGAAAAAGCTGGTGCCTTTTAACATGGCAACCGCTACATTTTAACATATGACCATAAAACCTGTGCTGTTGAAAAGCCTCACACAAGCCAGCAGGACAGGTCCTACCCTCCACTGAGAGCATCTCCCATGTCCTTGCATTCTGCAACTTGTGCTATCTTGCTATCTGCTGTAAGGCATTTTTCTCTAGGATGGGAAAGCACATTTTCTTTCACCGATACAGGAAGCAAGGTGATTTCTTCCACAATTGTTACACTACCAAAATGGTGCTTCAAAACATTCAGCATCATTTGCTAAATTTTCATTCATTCCCACCTGCTGAACAGCTAGCAAAATACACAGTTTTAAGGGCAAACTAACAAACACTTCCTGTACTTAGAAGTAAATATGCATGATATGTTGTAGGACAACACAAAAAACTAATCTTTTCATTTTTGAGAAAAATACCTTTCTATTTGATTACCTTCTGACATCAGATTAGTAAGTATAAAAACATCCTCACTGAATAATTGAGGAAAGAGATAACAAAACAAATAATTTTATATTTTATTTGTCTGTATGAGCACGTGTCACTGCAAACAAAATAAACATTATGAACTCTTCTGAGATTACCTCAGATATTTTCACAGCCTGAGAAAGAGATGCCATTATTTACATATACAAAGAAGAAAACATGGTGTCTTCAAATTATTTTGCCTTACTCCCTCCTTATGAGAGCAAATTACCTCATGGAGATAACAAAAAAGGAGCTTCACAGATATCTTATCAGAATATGGCCTGCAGATCCCTTTGTTTCAGACCAGAAAACAGAAAGCTGTCAAAGTGAAAAACATTAAATGGGAACTTGTTGCAGTGTTTGCAACATCTAGCTAATTCCCTGTTACAGGGAAATCAAATTTAGGAGACAATACTGTTGAGAAGGCTGAGAAGCTTGTGCTTCTAGGCTGTCCTGGTTGCAGCTAAAACCAGGATATAGGCTTTGATGCACATCTGTTTTCCGGCACACAGCCCTTTTATGAGGGAAAGTTGAGAGAGCATCAGAAAAGTCATGGAGAGGTATGAAAACTGACATGCTTGTAAGAAAAGATCTATAGAATTTACTCCCATGTACAGGTTAGACAAGTCTACTGTCCTACAGGTGTGCTTTAACCAGTTATGGTGTCCTACCTTCATACATATATATCATATATGGTTAAGTGAAAGGCCATAACCAATAAATGCCATTAGGATGGAAAGCCATGGAGGAAGAAAACCGGGGGGTGTATGTCTGTACCAAAGAATATGAAATTTTCACTAACTCACATCTTAAAATATTCTTATTTAACATATTTGCAAAGTTAAGCCTTCAAAATTTAGGAAAGAATACTGTTAAGTTTTCCTCATATAAATTTTTAATCCTTACTGTACATAACAATTCTAAAAAGTCCAGTAACTATATGATCACATGCATTTGCAATAAAATCTGTAACTCACTCAGAAGGCAGAACAGATAATGCTTTTCTGTTTAGCTCCACACATTTACTAACATCAAAATTCTGCATAATATGTAAGCCAATAATGTATTGCTTATGTCAAAAACACCAGGATGTTGAGATATTGTCTTTTTTTTAAACAGACATGTAGACAAAAAAGTGAATTATTTCATTAACTTTTTTTCATTACTTTGTAATGCCTAGGACTAATGTTTTCAGGATATTTCATGTTAAATATATTACTTTGAAATTAATAATTATGTCCTGAACTAACAGCTGAAGTTATGAGTTTATTCTATTAATCACACCTTTCCTGCCTACTGTCAAAGCTTGGGGTGCTGATATTTTTATACACCACCATTAATTTCTATAGGACAAACAACAAGCAGTCCAGCAGATGTGAAAATTTTCCTTAGGGAGATATGATGGTATTTACAAATCTGCCAATCTAAATTTGCCAAGGGCTAACAAAATCTGTGGAATTATATGGGAAATTTCTCCTTTGTATTTTCTAGATACATTTATGAGGGGAAATAAGTATTCATTGTCTTACCTTAGAAAAAAGAATTACTAAAGAAACACAATTTCTCGAAGTACAAGTGTATGTGATCATTAGCTGCTACATTTTCAGTCTAACTTGTACTAGAAAATTAGTGCAAGTTAGGCATCCAGTTCAGAATGCCTAACTCCCTAGCATGATATTGTGGAACTATACTTCATGCAGTCTCCTTGTTAACAGAAACATAAACAGATCACATTTCTGCCAAAAGTTCGTTATATAATATACTTATCAGAACATGAAAGTTCTCCTGTCAATCGTACTCAAACACTTTTGGAGGAGAAATACTTCAAGTTCCCATACTTTTTACTCCATCTGCTTCAGTCCACTTTAAAGAGAGAGAAAAAGCTACTTTGAACAGCCACCTCTTTAAGTCTCTCCATATTCTCAATTCCTCCAGAAATTTTAACTATATAATAGCATGGGGTTTGATATTTTGAGAGTGTGTGGGAAGAAAGTAATATCACCATCTGCTCTTCTCAACCTCTTAAGTTTGTATTAGAATATTATCCAGTTCCTGCACTTGTCCACTTGTCTCCCAAAAAAAAACACTTGCAGTTTAGTTTTAGTGCCTTTGCCTTTCCAACAACTCAAGCCTTATTGCATATATACACCTTCAGCATAAATGGGTGTCAGTGAAGAATTTGAATACACTGAAATACAGAATTCAAAGCAGAAAAGTCAACAGTAGTTAAAACAAGTAAGCTCTACAAAAAATGAAAAAAAAAAAAACCCTGATCAAAAATAAATTCATAATTTCTCCACAGAAACTGTTAAACAGTGTAGTTATTTAATATCTTATTGTTGCAGAAAGAAACCTTAGGAGATGGAGGTCATGATGGTTATCTGTACCCATCACATAATCATCATATCTTCCAGGGTCACTGAACTCCTGGCAACCCACAGGCGCATTTCTGGGTATTTTTCCACACAGGATTCCAAAGCACAGATTTATTGTAACTTACTATGCTGAAGGTAATTTTATTTTCATATCACAATAAGATATAGTGAAATTTCTCATATACTCTTAATTCATTATACCATAGTACAGCAGAAGATATTCATATGAATATACTTTCAGTTCTTCTGCATCTCTATTAAATTTAGTGTACTTATTTTTAATGGGTAGCACTGTATTACCACACATTATATAAACTCTAGCATTTAATTTAATACTGTACCTTACTATAGTATTTAGCACTCTATTATAAATGTTGCACTGTAATGCACACTCAAAATTCATTTTAAGGTTTGTTCACCCCCACATTCTACAACCTTGCAGTACAAACCTATGGAGGTAATTAGCACACCATATTCATTAACTAGGTCTCCTGTGTGGGTTATGATGTATCTAATGTTTTCTTACAAGAAAGAGTAATTATATTCAGTGAAGGTATAGCACAAGTAGGCTATAAATTTGGGGAAAATACTTAGAACATCAAATCAAGGGCAATTAATTTTTACAGTTATTTATGATTTTCTGTAAGTAAAAGAAATAGAAACACAGAAAAAATATGAATAATTGTCATTTGAATTTATTTTGTCAATCATATTTTTGAATATACACATCTGCATTTAAACATGCAATTTACTCAGTAATTCAAAATATTGGTTTTTATTTGTATGCTGTTCTCTGCTTCTCAGGCTTTGCAACATGCAAACAATTTTAATGCATTATCATTACGTTAATACCTAAACAGAACACAGCCATCATATCAATGATCATTTTAACTATTATCACATGATGCCTCTCCAGCTGCTGCACAAAACAGTATTTGAATTTATTTATTTTTTTTTTTATTTCCTCTCTCAAATGCCAGTGCGGTACTGAGAAGAAGGAGCAAATGAGACCCTGTGCTCATCAAGTCCCTAAAGATCACCAGGTATCTGCCAATACAAATTAGTTCTTTTTATTATCCAAGTCTAATATTGCTGGGAGCAATTTTCTTTTCAAAGCTATATATATTAACCTAATCAATGCAAAATACAGCTATTATGTCTCCTATTAGAATATGTTTCTGAAATCCAAAGCAGACAAAAATGTTTATATGTATTTTTCACAAATGGTTATTTCAGTATGATCCACAATTAACTCTAATTATAGGCACCCACTGTAAAAATATCTACTAAAATACCTTCTCAAAGTTACAGCACTTACTTTGTAGGCTTTATTATCTGAATACTGCAGGAAAAAAATACCCTATTGCAAGCAAAGTAGAAATTTATGAAAGGATAAAAAAATGTTTGAATGAAATATAAAGTTTAAAAGTAAACTACATGGTGTGCTTTTTTCTTGCACCTCAAGGAATAACAGAAGGTTAAGAGTTTGTTTGGGGTTTTTTTCTACTTTTCAATCTGCTGTATTTCCATTCTTCTTTTCTCTACATTCTTACTCCAAAGACCTGGGGCCATAACATGTTTCTGTTTCTTGACTTCTTTATCCTATTTTTCCTTTGAGTTGTATCTTAACAGCTTCTCAAAATTCAAAAGTTTATGCGAAGGCTTTCTTCTGTCTAGACACACTCTCCAGATGTGCTTTGACTAGATCCTTACATGCTTCCTAAGTGAACTGTGATTCCAAGTCCATATTTCTAAAACTTTGTAAAACTGGAAATCTGAAAAGAGATAACTTCCAGATTTTTCTCCTATGATATCTCTCTGCATTTCGTCTGGTCTTCTTGCAATACTGCTCCCACTATTTTAGTCCTCCTGATTTTTATATTTCAACATTTTCTCACACCCTGGAACAATATTTTCTTTCAATTCACCTAGTATCCTTGGATTTTTTATTTCATCTTGCTTCCAAAACAAATCCTTAAACAAAACATGTTCATCTCTGTGTATTTTATTTTGATAAACTATGCCAGTTATCATTAAAAATTGACTGAGCACCTGCATAGATGAAATTAAGATGAGATCACATCATTTGGTTCCAAAACCAAGGATTACACAAAGTACAAAATAAACCCCACGTAGTAAAAAATCCTTATTGCTTTGAACACATTTTTATGGCTATTTCATAAACAAATGTTTCAGAGCCAAAAAAACAAGGGGTTTGCAATTTACTTTGGAGGAATATAGGGGAAAAGGAGACAAAGTGATGCATCAAAGCCAGAAACATGTAAATATTTTTGCTCAGCCTTCCAATAGTAAATGTCTTTTAACTTTCTTCTAGCAGTTTAATTTGTAGCAATATATAATACAGTAATTTAAAAACATATTTCTAAATGGATACCTCGTGGACATCTCAGAAGTGTAAAAACTACAACTACAGATACTGATTGGGTCAAAAACTTTCCAGGTATTATATGCACAGAGAAATACTATTTTAGAGGAGTCAGAATTTGCTACTCAAACAAATAAAAGAATTTAAAATAAATGACCTTTTAAATCATTCTGGAAAAAAAAATCATTATATATTAATTACTTTTCCACTTCATGAAGCAAAATCACAAGTTGATGTGATTCATAAACTGAAAACAAAACTACCAATGAGGCATAAAACACAATGGAAAAACAATGGAAAAATGTTTTGAAGTACATCAAGAGACTCCAAGCAATGCATGCAATTAAATACTGTTCTTGCATATTCCTATGTTTGCAGGACAACATTTAATACAGTCTTCTCAATTTATCATACAGAATCATGCCAGGGCTCTTATACCTTTTTATTTTTTTTTTTTTTATTATTATTTGGAATTACATTGAATTCTTTCCGGTGCTTGAGGTCACAGATTTCAGTCCTACCATAAAGAACAGCAGCAACATCTTTCTTTAGGACAGGGATGCTCACTTGCTGACTTGGGATAAGATCTAACTGACAAAAGAACTTCTCTTCCCCTTGAGAATGCTGGGGTCTCAAAAGTAGGCCAGTTAAAACTGACAAAATGACTGAGCTCTGTAGGCATTAGTAGGATATCCTAGTGGACTTGATTAAGTCAAATACAATGTTACTATTGTGAACACTTGATTGGCAAGAAGCTGGAATCCTAATAATCATGTTCTGTCATTGCTCTCTGGCGTATGTGTATGATTACTATCTTCCTGCACGCTCTCAAGTTTTGTTCGAAACCTATCTTATGTTTTTTGTTTACAGCCTGTTGCCCAAGCAGGCAGCTCAGGAAATGTCATGGCTATGTGATTTTGCATTTAATTGAGGCAAAAAATTTTCATTCTTATCTAAATTATGCCTATTTTGAAAAAAAGCTTGCACACATTCCAAGTACCCTTGGAAAGCTTTAGTATTTAAGTCAACCTAAATGCACGTGAAGGACCAGTAATTAAAACAATTCAGATATCCCAGCCTTTGATGTTTGATATGTGCAAAACTTGATGCTTTATATGTGCAAAACAGACTTTTCGAATAAAGCTATCAGGTGATTCCATGCCTTGTTTTCATCCTGCAGCTGTCTTATTTTCTCTGAACCACAACAAACCTTTCTCTTGGCATTTCAGTTCGTTATTTAGTCATTTCAACAGGAAGTTAATTGAAACAAGTGCTAGTTATGATTCACCATAAAAAGTCATTTAAACAAATCTGAAAAATTCAGGAAATTACTTACAAGGGCAGAAGACTACAGCAATACTGATTTTTTGTCCAGGATCAAGAAATCCAGTCTGCAGACTAAATTTAAAAACATCATCTTCTGTATTTTTGCCTACATTGTCATGATATATTTTCCATGTCAACTGCTGCCTTGAGATATTCTTCAGGTCAAGCTTCTGTAAATATTTGAAGAGAAAGGAAGAAGTGATGAAAGAAAGAAAGCAGCAAACACCATGATACTTGTCATATTGCTCTGTCCTAAGCATTTTTTTTGCAATCAGATAAGAGCAAAAGCAAGAAAGCACTAGAAAGCAGTGAAGCCCAGCTTTTTACAAATGCAAGTTGATGAGTATGCCTATCAGCTCAGACTAGATGCTTTCCAGTCACTCTCCAAATTCATAAAGAGCAATTCTTTCTCTCCAGAATAAAAAAATCATTTATACAAGGTAACTAGACAAACAGATCATGGTTGGAGTGTTTAGCTAGACAGAAATCAAGAGATTTTCCTGATGAAGCACAGCAAGCACTAAATACATGGTTCATGACATCTAGATTTACAGGTGGATATGTGGGAAAAGCAAGACGTTCAGAATAGTTTTTCAAAAAACATCATTTCAACTTAATTTAATGTGAGTGGAAACAAACAAAAAAATCCTTTCCTTGATCTCAAAGTTACTCTTTCATCTCCTAACAGATCCATAGCTAGGAAAAGGCCTTGACTTTGTACTATCATTGCTTTCTGAAGATACTTGAAAAAGTTTCAAGTGTTTTCATCCTTGCCAACAATAATTCTTTACAATTTCTAAACACTTTGCGAATTAGAAACAATAAATTATAGTCTATTACATTTTGCATTCATACAGCCAAATTCTGTATGTTCCAAATCGGAATGGCGCTGGCCAATTATGCTATTCAATTCAATTATCCTATTCAATTCAATTATCCTATTCAATTATCCTAAAGCTGTCCCATGCAACACACTGGGACAGCAATTTAACTGTATGGGACATCATGGCACCCTAACTGCATTACTGCACTGTCACTGCCTAGTTTACTAGTGTAGGCAAAAAATCATTGTGAGGAAGCTATTTCTTACACAATTCATGGTCAGTGTTTCATAGTACCCACACTTTACCATATATCAGAAAGTCGAGAGAAGACCAGTTTTGAGTTTTGGAAAAAATTCTAGTGATCAAAAGGAAAACATAAAATAAAACTGAACAAAATAAGAATGGGAAAACATATATTTTAACCATGTATTTGAAACACGACTGAATTTTGAGTTCCATATCTGTATTCTTTTCTCTGTCATTTCTATTTAGAAGCTATAACAATACTTGTGATTACATACCTGAGAATTCAGACTTTCCTCAGCAATGTTGAAATATAAGCCACTTGAATGTTGTGAAAATTTAAGTTCCCTTGTGGAGAACTCCAATGGTGAGTTAAGTGCTTTTGGAAAAAAAAAAATTGTTTATACAGTGTTATTTTGACAAATACTTCCTCAAAGTCCAATCATAAGATCATTGTTTCTGCAGAAATATTTCTCTCCTTGTTTTAAAGCTGTATTTCCTTTCTGTTGTTCCCATGCTATATTAAAAATTACTGTGATTTTACTTTCTGTCCTATTATGATTCTTTAGTCACATTAGCATTATTCAAATTTTACATCTACCAGACTTACAGCATCTCTTCTTCATATAAAGATGCTGCAGAGACCCACATGATCTTTCTACTGCAGATGAATGCATTTGTAACAATAATAATCAGAAAAGGCTTGAAATATTTTGCAATAAATTGCATTTTTCTGAATTTCCTATAGATGCGACGAAAGCGTCACAAAGGATGAAGTTTAAAGTGATAATTTGGACAAACAGAGGTATATTTTCCTATAGCCTCATTTTGCATATTGATTGAATGCTGAAAACGAACCTAGAAAGTCTAAAGTATCCTTTTATTAAAACCTGCAATTTTGTTTCAGACTTCGTGATGAAGGGTGGTGCTCAATTGTCTTCTCCTAAAAAGCCCAAAGAATTTCCTCATCACATATCTCACAATATGAAAACAATAATACTATTCATATTTCCTAAAGCACAGGCATATAAACTAACATTGTTTCGAAGTAGGAATCTAATCTGCTGGAATGTTTCTACCAATATGCAACTATGTTTTGTTCACTTACAAATTCCTCACCTCTCACAGAAAATGCCTGCACAAGAAAAAACATGGCATGACTGAAAGCCTAGGCAGGAAATTACCTATCCCATGAAAAAAAAGAAACAGCTCACATGGGGTCAATTAGATTTATAATACGTCTTCTTCCTTTAAGTCTGGCTGAGGTAGGGCTTGTACTTTTCCACTTGAGTTTTCTATTTTGCTTTGGGCTTTTTTACTCTTTCAGTGCTTTCTTACATACTGATAAGCAGCTTCCAAGGGAAAAGTCTTACAAGTATTCAAGAGACATTCTTTCCTTCCCAGATACTGAAACTGTCTACAAACTTTGATTTTTAAAAATAAAATAAAATAAGAAAGATCCATGATAAATCGGAAAGACATTGACTACATTGAAGTTAGAAGTCTCAGTTGACCCCTCGGAGATTATTGTGATTCTTTTCTCAGAAAAATCCCTAGTACAAATATCAGATATAATCTATTGATTTAAGTAGCAACTGCACTGTTCTGTGCAGTCTGAATCCCAGTCAACCACAAAAACTGTCACAGGGAAGAAAATAAAATACTTAATGGAAAGCGCCATAAAGCACTAGAATTTGCAAGATGAATTTTAGCCCACTTTTAGTTTTAAAGTGATAATCTGTAATAATGAATCAGTAACAGATATACATTTTAAGTTATCATAAATGTAATAAAATTATCAAGTTCTCTTTAACAGTACAAAAAATTGGCTAGTTACCTGCATCTGTATGACCGTGACGTACTGAGTGGTTATTTGTTAGACTTCTCTCCCTTTTCACAGTCCACTAAAATTCCCAGTAAGAATATACTTCAAATATTTAAATTTAAATACAAGCTACATTTTTTTCAACTATTTCATAGAATTGAAAATATTATATAATCACTTTAATATTATGATTACTTGTTGTTCACCTACAAGTAATAGCAATGGTACTTTGAAGAATTTCTATGTGGCAGAAGCACAAATTTGTAATAACATGTACATAGGATTATAATCTATTACCAAGACCTATTGATTTAATTTATTCATTATTCCACAAAGAAAGGGAAAAGGAAACAAACATTTTCTTTTTCTTCAGGTTACATAACTTCTGTACTAGTAATTTGTCACTTTGATTCATGATCTTTTTAGAGACATGCTTTGTAATAGTCTCACATACATTTACCTTTATTCTACATGTTCTTAGACTAAAGATATTTAGAAGTATTTAATATTGATTTGCTTCCACCACAGAATCTAAAGAAGGTCTCTCAGATTTCTTTGATATTTTAAAAGATCTCAGAAGAAAGACTTAATTTAAAGCCCTACAGAGAAAGACAAAGAAAAAAATAAGCCATAGATAAAAATCTAAAAAGTTTGAGTTGCTTTTACCCTACGTTATGCATTTAATTGGCCAAGCCTGCTTCAGTGCTCCCAAGATGTTTAAATATTACACAAACATCATTCCAGGAAGACACTCTGAACTTAAGTCAAATGAACAGTGACTATACATTGAAAACTGGAATGAGGAAAGCTAGTGGATTCAAGAATTCACAATGTGTAGGTCTACATGACTATAAGGACAGACAGGAGACTAAAGAGAACCACGGATTATTTTCAAGAGAAGCAGAGAAGAGTCATTTAAAATATCAATTTCTTGCTGCAGGCAAATGGCCTGTAACTTTGGCCATTAAAAAGCTGACAGGCCAGAAGAAAGGTACAGTTCTGCATACAAAAGCAAACCGAAGCAAATGAACTACACTACCACCTGCTCTCTCAAATTGGATCACTGCCAGTGAGAGGCATTTTCAAGGAGTTTTAAATATATCTAGAGCTCCTAGTTTTGACAGGGTGAAGAAAAAAACAAGTATGAATTACATACTACCTTTCCACACTTTTCAGATGAACTGCTGTAAATACTAAGGCCTGCATGATTAAGGTCTAGAAATACTAATGAATCAATAGAAACAAAACTTGAGTTTTAGTAAACTTTTTTATTGCTCATTAGGCAAATGGTTCTATTAATTATTTTTTTCCCCAGCACATTATAATTATGTAAAGAAAGTTCAGGTTTACACATTTAAAAATACAAATAAAAATTTGAAATTTTTGCAGGTAACCAGAAAATTTACGTATTATGCAATTATCAATGAAATTTTTCTTAACTGGTAATCCTCTGCAATCAGGCTACAAGCAAAAACATCACTACACACGTAAGTATCCACCATGAGCATAAATCCCTAGTTTACCTACCAACTGCTTTAACTCTGCAGAGTGGAACAGCCACAGTCACCATCTGTGGTGAAGGACCAAGAAGTTGCTGCATAGATCTCACAGAAGTTACAGATCCACGGGTTGCCTGTGCCAATGGGAACTCAGCCAGAGGAGTATTCACTGGAAGAGTGAAGTCATATGCCGCCACCTAAAGGACAAAAACATCACTCTGGTCACTTTCCCAAAGAAATTGTAGGTACTTGAACCATCTGATCGGTATTACCATTTCAGAAGAACTCCTGAAATTAATTTAGGACCTGATCTTGATAGTAAAATATGATAGTTTATCAGCTGCCAGTATCAGCTCTTTAAGTAAGCAGTGGCCTGCCATTTTTTCTGCCACTGTGGAAAAATTATATATCTACAAGTAGCAAGGTTATCAGCACAGACAAGGCTTCTGATAAATCACTGTGTTTTGTTCCTCTCCAACCACTCTCCTGAGTGAATAAAGATGGGAGCAGTGGTTTAAAATGCATAATCATGAGAAAGAAGGGGGGGAAAAAAAGCTATGTAAGTTAAGAAAGCCTTTCTAAAAAGCTGTCACAGCATACCCAGAATAAACAAAATGGGCTCTGAGATCATGGTGAAGCATGAATTAAAAATGGAGATACTCCAGGGAAAAAAAATAATTAAAAAAAAAAAGCCACAAATAAAAATTCTACTTAACATTGTTGTCATTGAGCAGCTCAAAATTCCAGGAGTCCAAATTCCAATGATTTTGATCCTATTTTTGTCTCTGCAATCACATCCCCAAAGAACTGGGGTTTAGAATTTAAAGGATAACAAGTTTTATACTAATTCCTCTTTTTGACAGACTCTGCACTTGAGAGGACAGTGCACTTCCAAGGAGGCATTTCTTGCCTCTTGTTTTTTCTTTCCAAAGATCAACATGCTAGAGCTGTATGTTCTCCAGACAAAGGTACAGACAGCCCTTACAAAGGTAGAGGAATTAAAAACAAAACTTCTGCACTGAAATCACTGTTGGAGTCCTCCAATTCCGTTTTCATCCTGAAGGCCACTGAAATCTCCAGAAAGGATTCTGGCCTATAAAATCTGCATGCTGCTAAAATCTGCAGTGAAACCAGATATATAAAGTTATGACTCATTTAAAAGCTTTCAAAAACTGCAGAAAATAGTGCATCATGCTTCACTTTCACATATGTGGCAGTGAGTAAAATGACATGAAAGAAAAATATAATTTTGTCCTAAGCTCGGACATGAGGCATAACATGAATTCTAACAGAATCATCACAGGGCTTACATAATGAGAAGCAAGTACACAACACTTACACTGTTTGGAGTTCCCACAGGGTTTGTAACACACAGTTATGAACTCCTGGTAAGCAAGATGTGTACTGAGCCTCATGGAGTATATTGTATTTTTGCTTAGTAGGAGGAAAGTATGGGATGAGGGGAAGTTTTCTTAGAGAGATCTCCACAGTACCTTGATTGATATAGATACTTGAAATCTGATAGTGATTAGATTTAATAACATAGAATTTTCAAAATCAACACGGTGAATGCCATTAAAGAGTTTTAGTAACTAAAGCTCAAGGTGTGTCAAACAAAGACTGAGTAAAAAACTCCTGATTTTATTTAGATACCCTTCTATTTTTAGTATATCAAGTCACCCACATAAAATACTCATCAAGTTACATCTTCAAAATATGTCCTTGTGGAATAAAACCACATAATTTAAAATTAGACTGAAAAGGGTATCTTTTCATAGTGTGAGAAGTTCCTTACACTTCAAAGTATGTGTGAAATACATGATTTCACGTTACTAACAGTGGCTCTTTACTGTTTTGGAGAAACAACTATATCTTCCTATAGTAGAAAGTAATAAGCATTGCATTTAAAGACTGAAATACCTTAAAAAAGAAAAAAAAATCTTTCACAACTATTTCCCACAACTTGAGAAGTTTTATATAGAAAAGATGAATACATGTTTATTTTGTAACCCTGCTAGCTATTAAAATGCATATGTAAGAGAGAACTTACATATGTAAAGTGAACCAATACTAGGAAGAGATAACAAGACTTGCTAGATCAAACATTTCTTGCCATAGTCACAACACAGACTGCACATCTCAATGCACAGCTTAGTTTCTAAGAACTGCTAACAGCCTTGACACCCTTGACAGCAGGTACTTCCCCACAGGGGCAGATTTAACAGCTGAAACACCAAGAACTACAGTAAAAACTACTACAAGAACTACAGAAACCATCACCAAAAAAAAAAAAAAAAAAAAGAAGATAGGAAATACTTTCCATCCCTAGTGTGTGTGACATATGTAACAATATAATGACACTAATTTTTTTAAGTTTGGTAATGGCCATTTGAACAGATTGTCCAGAGAAGTTGTGACTGCTCCAACTTGGAAGTGTTCAAGGCCAGGCTGAATGGGGCTTTGAGCAACCTGGTCTAGTGGAACATGTCCCTGCCCATGGCAGGGGTGTTGAAACTAGATGATCTTCAAGGTCCTTTCCAGCCCAAACTGCTCTGATTCTTTGATTCAAATGCTTAAACTACAATAGACATCCTTACATCATTTGATATGCAAATAAGTTCAATTTAGCACTGCAATTTTTCTTCATCAAGGCTGTTACATCTAAAATGTTTAGGCCAGACAACTAACAGTAGAATCCCTTTATCCCTCTCTCAGAGCAGCTATTCAAAATGTGTTTTCCATCCCCACTACCAGGAAAATTTGTTTTAGTCTGACTATGCAACAAGGGTTTTATTTGCTAAGAACTGGCAAACAAAACCAAATGTGTGCAAGGCAATTCACTACATGTAGGACATAACGTTCACAGAAAACCTACATTTGCTTTGAAGTACAATGGTGTAAATTCAGAGCCAGCATAACTTTTAGAAATGTCTTTATATAACTGAGAAAAAAAATCATAGAACTTTTGTTTCATTCATCTTTACCTCATTAACTACACATTAACCTGTATACAAATGAAAAATTCTTTTAAAAGTTTATATACCAAGAAATCATATTGTGATACCTACACATATACACACACATTAGTGAAACAGAATTAAAACTTCTTTTTTTTAATTAACTTTGCAAGTAGAATAATTATTTTTCTTTTTATACATATTTTAAGAAAAGAAATGTTATTTGTGTTTAATCTTTAAAATTTACATGAGAGAAGTTTCTATTATGGAGATTGTATAAAAAAATAATTAATGACTATTAAAAAAAATCCTTATACTATTGCTGGACTTACAGCTGCTTTTTAAATAATCTATCAACAATTTACAGTTATCTATTGAGATATTTTTCTGCAGCTGTATTTAACTTCATAAACCAGAGAATAGAGGGAGGAGCACGAAGCAATCAGCCTTAGAGAGAGTTCTTTCATAAACACTCAAACTTGTTTATAACGTTAGAAGAAATATTTTTCCCGTCCTGATTTGCACTTAATTATGCAGATTTGCAACATCTACAAAGTGGTTGTCTTAGCAATAGAAATACTTCAAAAGAAGCTTTAAAAAGACTTGTCATGTAAGACAAATGAGCTTTTTGCAATGCCTTCATACAGAATATCTCCAAAATATGCCAGAAAAATGCATGCATGCCACAAGAAGATAACAATTCTTTAAATAAAACTGATATTCCTGCATACTTTCATGTAGAGGGCATTTTATAAAACATTTAAATTTTTTTATAGACTTGCTAAACAAATAGAAGTTGTTGATTTCAAGAAATCTGTCTGACCAAGAAAGCCCTGCTACAGACACTTATTTGAGTTTGTGAAATAGGTTTGATACAAAGAGCATGGTAGCTCTAAGTTCAAAACTGGTGAGTGAACATAACTGAATGGCTTCCTCAGGCCTAAATAGTCAGTATACATAAAGAAACAAAGGATGAACAACTACCCCATCAACCATGACAATTAAAATGGTACTTCATATAAAAATTCATGCATAAGAGAAATGAACTCAAGTATAGTTGTCAGGTTGAAGGGAAGGAAATCTGAGAGTAGAAAAAAAAAAACATTATCTTCAAAAACCATTATCTTCAAAAACACTTTCAAAGCAGTTACTTCATTTCTATCTCTAATTACCCCAATGCAACAATATATTTTGTGCTTTATAAAAAAACATAATTTGCTAATTATTATTACAATACATCATCTATTCTCAAGGCTCAGTAAAAATTGTGCTGGTAAATCCAGGAATCATACAGTTTAATCAGCACAAATAGTATGTGGCATCTCCCTAAATTTACAGCACTTGCTTCCACAGTACAACTTCACAGGAAATTGCAGGAAAACCAGCAAGCTAACTCATAACTTAAAATTAAGTTGCAACATCTGTAAAGGATAATAGTCTTGTATTTATCATACAGTAACATGCCAACTGTTCAAATATCTTGAAGCATTAGAAGTCATTGAATTTTTGTCTAAACACTGATTTTAATGTTTCTTCATAACACTAACACAGATTCAGCAGTGAAACAAGGAGAGAAAAATTAAATTTACATCAGAAAAAGAAAAGCCAAAACAAAACAAAAACCTTGCTTGATTCAAATTTAAACGTAACTCCAAAACCAAGTGTTTATGTCCTGCAACTGTGTATTGTATACATTCTCAACCTACACTCAGATGCAACATTAGCTTTTTCTTAAAACATACTTAAATCTTTCACAGCCTAAACTCCCCTGCTTTATATCACAGATAAAGCAGCTTTCCACAATGAATAATGTAACTAACATTCAAAGCCGTTATTCAAAACACTGAAATAAAACTAAATCTCTCCTTTTTATATGGTCAGAGAAGATGCACCAGCAATCCTCTGTAATTCCACAGCTGCAGATTTTCCATAGAATTCATTCTTACACCATGAATTCTGTTCTTTTATTAAGAAAAATAAAAATTACATCTTTAAAAATGCCAGAAAAATCAAACCCAAAACCACCTGTCACTTCTCTACAAGAAGCTTAAGCAATAAGCTCTGACAGGTGTTATTTGCCATATTTATTTCAATCAAAGGCTCTTGTAGGCTTTGTTATTACACAGCTGGGTATTTTGTGTTTTTTCCAAAATGTTGCAATTTGCTATTTTCTAGCAGGTTTTAAATATATAAATAAATACAATTACTTAATTAATTACCTAATTAATTTTGAAGCAGTACACTCCTGCCCTTTGTTTTGCCTGCTTTCCTTACAAGACTGCTGCTAGCAGATGGATGTTCCTGCCTGGAGAAACACAGGAGCAGTTGAGGGACAAAGATGCACATATACTTAAAGTGACCGCATGTTGCCTGTTTTGTGGTAGCACAAAACCACAGGAATGAGGTGCTTTTTACTGCTACTTGGACAGGTAGCTTGCAGAAAGAGAACTAAAAACAGAAAAGCCATGCTTATATGCCTCTTGGACAGTACAATTTAAAACTCACTACAAAAATAAGCACTGCTAGCAATCAGTAAATAATAATACTAGTAATTAGGTGCTACCACGTAGTTATAGGGAGTTTTGTTTGGTTGGATTTCTTGTTTAATTACCAGAAATTTTCTTACTATTCAGCTCTGAAATAAGAGAACCCTGCCTAGCCTATCAGACATCCAGCTGGCTAAACCCCTTTAAATTGCAGTAAAAAAAACCCTAAAACATAATTGAAGTGTGTCTCAAAGTTATGTCCAAGGAGAAAAGAAAGCAGCATATGGCCTGTATATAAATAGGAAAAGGAATATTAGGAAATATTTGCTAGCTTACCAGTTTATATATATTTTTGTATACTGCTGTCACTTTCCTGGCCAACAAACACCAAGATTAAACTTCCTCCAGTGAGGCAGAGAGCCCCATCACCTCTAACACCTTCTGAGACACTGGAACAACGGAAATGCAGATCCAGGCTGTGATGAGCAGCATCCTAGCCTTACCTACAATGACTTCATTTTACCACTTAGAATATTGGGAGAATTAAATCTCTTTATATATTATAGCCATGGCAATGTACTTCATCTCTAAGAGCATCATATGATGTCACATGTATTTGTACATATCAAGGTTTAGTGAGAATTGTAGGAGGTATTTGGAATTCTTATGCATTTACTTTGTTGCTTTGAGGCTTTTTAAGCCAGAAGGAAAGTTATTGCCAAATTGATTTTCAGAAGAATTCAAGATTGCATTCAAGTCTAAATTACTTAAAACTTACATTAATAATCCAAGTAGTTTTAATAAAAATCTAAAGCATATTAAAATTATTTCATGCTTTTGTGATTTTTTTTATCAGTGCTCCTGAATTATTTTGTTTCCTTTTTTTCCTTAGTTTTAGTATCTACTTTCTTAGCAACTGCATTGATATAGTGAATTTTTGTTGTTATATTGGGTACTGTTGTCATTACCAACTACAACAGCAGGCAGTTTTAGTAGAACCAGAAGGTGGACAGAAAAGAATGTGACTCAATGGGATATACAAATTTTGTAGCAGCTGGAGGTAAACTGGGTAAGAGCAGTTGTCCAGAAAATGGTGATGAGATCAGAGAAGCATCTGTTCGAGTACAGAGGCAGGAAATAGCATTTGCAACCATGAAAACTGAAAAGGGAAAGTTTAATATACAGAGAAGTTTAGAGTTTTTTCAAGACTTGAAATCCAGAAAACAGAAGGAAGAAATCTGGTGAGAAAAGGGGAGAATCTAGGTGAGGTAGAATGAGAAAGAACTTGGATCCAGTGGTGAATGTTTTAAGAATCTGTAACTAATGAGAGTTTCTGATCACAAGAGATGCTGGCACCTGGACCAGAACTATGCTTTTATTAAGATTCTACTTTGCAGGAGTTAAATTGAAGAAAACCTACACCATTCTAGGAGTTACATGTAGTTCACATGCTCTTTAGTCATGCCATACTGGGCAACATATTTACTTTCCAAAGTTAATTTCATTTTACATTACCAGTGCTATTACTGCCAACTATCAATGCTGCGCTCACTCCCAGTGATGCTAACTTGTGACCACCAGTGGGCTGTGAGTCCTAAGTGTATTTGGGCATGTGGTGCCTAGCAATGAGTAAGCTGCCCCCTAACAGGCAGGCAGTAATAATACTTGAGCGAAAGGGAAGCACTGATTGTGCAGTGAGCTTACCCAGTACCAAGAGCAAAGTAAGAAAGAAATTCTGTGAGCATGGGGAGAGAATAGGCAACTGAAATAAAGACAGTTCATTAAAGCAACACTTATTAGTTGGTTATAAGGTATAAGGTGCCCAAGGAAGATTTCATTTTTTAAATTCTTTATTCCCTTACTTCTGAATTTATGTTTGCCAAAATTACTCTCAAGACTGAAAAAAAAAAAAACCAAACCAAAAACCAAAACCAAACACCTTATATCCAGAGTTTAAACATCAAAAAAAGATGACATCAGATAACCCTATAGAGAAATCTATAATCAATAGATGCAATATATTCTACAGTAGTTGTGGGGTGGTCGGTTTTCTTAAAAAAAGAAGAGTAGGCACAAAGGAGATCCAGTCAAATTGGAAGATTTGAAAACATCTTACAGAAGGGTATTACAGTTTAATCAACCATTTACTTTATTTAGTGTTATATCTACGGCTTACTAGAAGCTAATTCGCAGTTATGGAGCAGCATTTTGTTTCTCATTTCTATTGACAATCTTTCAATTTGAATAAAAAATGAAAAATGTTGTTGAATACTTATGATTTTAAACTGAAAAAGAAAATGTTCTTTAAGGCTGCTACAACAAGTTACTTTTGTAAATGAAATACACACCTCAGAGTACTTTACTGGTAAAATAAAAATCAAAACTAATTAAATTTCAAAGCTTGGCTGTAAGAACAGTACTAATATATACCTATTCATTAAAGGTTCAATCAATCTTTTCCTTTTTATTTGTAAGAGCATTTCCACACTCCAATTTCATCATTTCAAGCTAAAAATCTATATTCCTTTGTACTGGTTAATTTTAATTGGTTTGAATTTCACACTTGGCAAGAGACAGCCACTAAGGAGTACCATTATAATTACTATGAGCCTTAACACTGGCCTGCGTGGGGACACAATTTCATCTCTGGAGCAAAAACATGCTGTTAGAATACAATTTCACAATGGACAAGTGTGACTGTCTGCCAGATTACTTATCCCCCTGGGACAGAGTGAATCATTTCTGGTGCTGCTTCTCCGACCCATTCTTAAGACTCTTCAATAATTAAGATTTCTTCTTAAGTAGTTTATTTCAATATTTTACTCTTTTCTCTACAATGAGTTTTTATATCTAATCTAATCCATCCTGGCATAATTTAAACCCACTACTCATTACTTATCTACTGCAGTGAAGAAGCCTATATAAATTATATTCCACAAACTATTGGAAGTTATATCTATTTTTTACACAGTTTGTGCTTTCTGGACTTCTGATGATTTCCAGGGTTTTCTTTCAGACTTACTTTTCAAGGGAGATTTTCACACTTCTTTCAATTAAGTGTGATATCCAAACTGAGAAAGGTGTTGCAGCTGAAGTGTTAACTTCACTGATTAGAATAACTATTTTACTTGCTTTACTTACATTATTCCTATTCACACAAATCACTATGATGTCTGCCTCTATTCATAATATTTGTTCAACTTGTGATCTATAATACCATACACATAGATTATTCCAACAGCATTATCTAGTCGTAAACTTCTACGATTGACCCTTCCTAATTAAATGAAAATGTCAGCATTTTTCCTTACTGATCTTCCCTCCAGTTTGATAATAGGTCACTGGTGATATTCTGCAGGTACCATTTTGCAAGCAATTACATACTTTTTGATCTAGTCTAAATCTGACTACTTGATTATGAGAATGCATCTGACAGTGATGCAAGATACATCTACTGCTTCTCCCCTAACCTCATGGCCTCCTATACTATAGGAGAAAATTAGTTTGGTTTGCAATAGCTCATTTTTTATTAATCTATTAACTCATGTTTTGTCAGGAAAAATCATCTGAGAGTAGTGAATGTGCTATAAATTCACCCCATCAGTAATTTCACAATAGCTTCCATGTGTACACATAATCTAAGCTGACAGTAATGAGAGAAAGAAAATCACAGTTTTACCAGACAGTCTGTAATATGTAAATATTATTTGAGTGATGCTTTCAACAAAAGAATTCCCTTTTATTCAAAACTAAAGTGCTAAAAAGGAGGGCGGGTGGATTAGAAAATAATATTGTCAACCCTTCCAAGATGCATTGCCTCTGATATTATTTAAGGAAAAAATGCAGCTAATGCAACAGGTTTATGTGCTATAGAAGTGATCCCCAGCTGCTTGTTCCTAAACTGATTTATAATATCAAAGTTTTCTTTCAGTTCACTGTTCTCCAAATACGTAGAAACCCCAAATCCTCAATTTCTAAATTGTTATTCAATAGGTTTAGATTTAGAATTTGCTGCAGCACTCTCTATTGAAACCTACTGCCAATAAAATGTTATTTTCATAATTTAAAACTAACCCACTAAGTCTCACTTTTTCAGTTTATTTCCCTCAAATAGCTCTTTCAGAAAGCAACTATGCCAATCCTTAAAGCACATAAAACTCCTCTACTTTTGTAGACCCTTGGTCATATGAGAGTTTAAGCATGAATAACTGCAAAAATAAAATGGCTGTCTGTTTGTTGAATGATTTAATGAATGTAACTTAAGTTCCTACCTTTTCCTGTCTGTTTGTTGAATGATTTAATGAATGCAACTTAAATTCCTACCTTTTCCGTTTTTCAGTCATTGATATAGTGTGTGTTCTTTGTGTATGCAAATGTTTTAGGAAAGCAGCAAGTTATATAATGGTCATTTCAGAACTTGTTTTCTTAAGAATTGGATTACTATTATAAAACTATTGCACACGCTAAAATGTGAATCTAAAATGCCTATATTCTTTCACCATAGAAATATCACTGACCACAATTTTAATTTAGCATAATCACCACCCATAAACCTACCTCTTTTGGCATGAAGGACAACAAGCATTGCAAAGCTGACTTTCCCTTTAAGTTAACTGAATACTTGTAAGGCGTTGAAGAACAGCCGTCAAACACTGTCAAACAAAATTCAGAATAAAATTACAGATGTTATTACTCTAAATATCAACTTGATCACAGTTGCAGTACTTCAAAGTGATTTCCAGCATAAGGTATCTATATATTTGTATGGTAAACATTTCTCACAAAGTTACAAATTAATATAGTATTTCTTATAAGGATTCTAAGGGTAATTTTGTGCTAATCACCAGCAACTTTCATTAAGCTTTTGATTTGCGAGAATGTAATATTTCAGAAAAAAAACAAACAAACCAACAGTCATTTACCTTTGAATAAAAGTGTTAGGCAAAACCAGCTAACTAAATAATGAAATTTAAAATCACAAGGAGAAAAATAGTCAGCTGGAGCTATTTTTCTAAATTACTTTTAAGCATGATCTATACAACTTTATCAATAAGGCTTGCATTTTTCAGACTTTCATATCCAATTTTAAGGCACTGGGAGAAGCAACAAACAAGATAACGTTCCTTTGAGATCAGTATTCATCCTGGAACACCAGGATCAATGCTCATCCAATATTCACCATTTGAACAGTATTGGACCTGACTGGATGTCACCATTACTTGTTTCAAGCACAAACTCTGATCTAGAAATCATGTGCAATAAGATGATTCTCATGCTGGATAGCTGGCTGTTGCAGATAGTCTTACAATTCTTTTCCATGTTAAGATGACTGGCTAGGATCCCTCACCTACCACCATATGGTAAGAAAACCCTTCTGCTTTTGTCAGATTTTTTTTTTTAATAATCCATATATAGTTATACGTAAAGATAAAGCTAAATATTATAATACTACATTGCAAAAGAAAGAGTTCTGATTTTCTCAGCTTTCAGGGACAAGAGGCCATATAAGCAGAGCTGCAAAACTCTCTCGTGACTAAAGATATTGGAACAGCAAAGAAGATGCCAGTACTGAAGTAGAAAAGGGATGAGCAACAATGAGTGAAGGATATGAATCTGCACTAATTATATCAAGAGACAAAAGAATAGCAACCTGATTCCACACACTGCCCCAATGTCATTCTAAGTTGGGCATCACGAAGAACAGAGGTCCTGTGATTAACCTGCAAACACTCTGTACCATTAAGAAAAGAAGTCTGGACTCTTATACTGATGATGAACTAACTGAAGGGTAAACATTGTCTAAACAGTGGGTAGAGGCCCACGAATAAGAAATGACTATAGTTGTTTGGATTTGTTTGGTTGGGTTTTTTTAAGTTCTTTAATTTTAACTGGTGAGAGGTATTCAAACTGTTTTTTAAACACTTTTTAACCAATATAGAAAAATAAAAACAAAAAATGAAAAGAAAAAAAAATAGGGGAGGAAAAACCCTACAGGCAATCTGACATTTTCCAAATGCTTATTGTTTGCAATTGTTATTTTACAGGCATACCAAACTATCTACTCTTAATTTATATTTAGCAGCACCTTTAAAATAATTGCTTTCGATTTTCTTAAATAGGAAAAACTGTATACCAGAAATAGCTTTACAGCTATTCTCTTACCATTATCCATTCTTTATATAATGAAAATTCTGATATAGCAAAAGTAAATACCTGACGGGTCATCAGCATTCAATTCAAAATCCTTATATTTACAGAAGTCAAACTCCACTCTGGTACACGCATGTCCCTTGTTCTGCAGCAAAAAGGGAATTGATTTTGTAGCACCGACATAAACGCCACCAAAGTCAAATTGCTGCTGTAAGTTTAAAGAAGAAAAAAAAAAGGGTCAAAGCACTATGAAGTCAAGCACATTACTGACCAGAGTGTGAAAAAAATATAACTGTTCAAAGATTCACAATTTCTAACATAATAATAGCCTTGTTTAACCAATTTTCTTGAATTACTCTTATTATCAAAATCTTTCCAGGACATAAAATGCAACAGCTAAGAATCCAATACGTAAGTCCTGTTACACCATCAGAAAAGCTTTCATGCTTTGGTAAAGAGATCAGAGGATTCTGGGAAACCTTATTGATGCCCACCCCCCCACCCCCCCCCCACCTGAAGGAAATCATCTCCTTTTTAACATGCTTTTTCCAGATTCTTGCATTCAAAAGCTAAGGCTGTCAGCTACCATTAATGCAATGGGCATATATACATATTGTTTTTAATTTCTCTTCCAAAGTTTTTCTCTTTGATAATTTTCTCAGGAAGCTAGTATAAGGAAAAATGAAAAATATGAAGTAGGGATGAGCCACTTTGACATCCACAGAAAGTAAAACACTATCAATCTTACCAATTGCTACCAATATTTTATACTTACCACATCAATGTTTATTTCGGGGACCTCTACAAATCCACCAATCCTAAGCATTAGTATTTCTGAATTTCGCACTTCTACCTGAGTGGACAAAAGTGTGATTATTGACAAGGTCATTTTAATGTAAGTATCTCACCAAATCAGTCATAGTTACATGAAAAAAAAAAAAAAGGTTTGGGTTTTTTGTTTGAAAAAAAAAAAAAGACACCAACCAACCAACCTACCCCAGAGACAATGAGAGGAGAAAGACATTCAACTTAGTTTGTAATGAAAATGTAATTATGCTCTTATAATATAATGCATTTCTGTTATGGAAATGTAAGGAGGTAAAGAAAATGTCTTCATTTTCCAGGACATTTATATACAGATTCCTGTGAGATGTGGCTTCAAAGAAGAACCAATCATGCCTCTGTGGCATACCATACCTGTGATGGTTGCAATTGTCAACAAAAAAAATACAAAACAAACCCACACAAATTTTTAGGAAATGCCAGTTTTCAGCAGAGAAAAATAGCATTGCAGGAAGTTGTGCCACTAGATTGAAACTAGATTGAGAAAGATAAGTGGTAGGGTTAAATTTAAACTGAATGGATGGGTTAGATCTATTCAGCAGATGTGAGGACTGGAAAGCATACTACAACACAGACTGCTTGACAGAGATCCTGGTACAAAGTAGGTACTATTGTTTTGAGCAATGCTAAATCTGGTTTGGAAATGGAAAAAAGATATGGATACTAGCTTTAGAGTGCATACTGTAGACAGCCACAAAGGATGGATAATCCAGGATTACAGTCAGAAAAACTAGTAAAGATCAACTCCGTGATAGTATCCTTTTACCCATTCTCACTTATCTGATCAGGAACAAGTTCAGGAAGCAGGCATGCAGAAAACAAAATAGGATTTGTTGTTTATTGCACTCCCATCATCAAATCAAGTCTATTAGTAAATCCACCTCTGAGATGACCACAAAAAAATGTCAAGAAATTAAAGACACTGCGGTGTTACAGTCCTGCTCCAGTACAGATCATAAAAGCAGCGGATATGCCTATATAATCTTCTGAAGACAACCACAAGTTAGTTTCAACAGTTTGCCAAAGGTATAGTATCAATCAGTTCAAACAGAGAGGCTGCTTTGATACTTCCCAGCAGGACAGAGACAAAATTCAGAATACGTTACAGCAGTCATCAACTGCTGATAAAAACCTTTTTTTTTTTCTTCCCCCCCCCCCCAAACATTAGAACACTGGAGATAAAGTCCAAAAGATACTTAAATGCACACACACCTCCACACATAAACAGCCAACATAACACTCAAAAGGCAAAGTTCTTCTAGTTTTGATTACCTCCACTTTTGTATCAAAATTCATTTTTGCAGTTGGATTAAAACAGATTTTGAGATCAGCATAGCCTCCCACAGGTACCACCCCTTCAGAAGGGGAGATCATCATTCCAGGCAATGGGTTTGAATCACGAACCTTCAAACACAAACATAAAACATTAATGATTCTGAAAAAGGTGGTGGCTTTGGGGAAGGGAAGTGTGGAGAGATTTGGTTTGTGTTTTTGTTGGGGTTTTGGAATTTTGTTTTGTTTTTTTTTTAATACCAGCATATCTATAATGAAGATTTTATAGTCTTACAAGAACATTCATAGCATGCAATGCTAACTTGGACTTAGAAGCTTGAGAAAAAAATACAGGCAAACAAAATAAAGTAACAAATTCCTAAACATGATGACTGTCAGTCTCTACTACAAAATAATGTTTGCACAGTGGTTGAAAACTTCACATTCTGGTTTTCAAGTTGTTTTCCAGAGCAAATTAAAATTAAAACTTGCTATCTAGCAAACCTCCAGAATATCTTACAATGCATATTTTCAGTGAGAGATAAATTCTTCACTTCTTTTTTGACACTCACAATAACAGGTCACAGGATCCTAATACTGTAAAGTTCACTAATAATACTACTAGTAAATATCCAGTTTACCCACAATTAGTAGAGACAAAATAAAATTTGTTCTCTTCTAATGCGCTGCAAATGGATAACGTTTTAAAGTATAGCTACACAAGTGATAATGACCAAGACCAAGCAGCCATCTCTTGGCTTAAAAGCAAATATGGAGGCTTAAAACGCTGGGCATGTTTGCCTTATTGATTATGCAGATTTTATTAATTCAGATCTATCCTCCAAGAGTGCAGTAATAATACTTAATTACAATGCTCCATTAATAAACAGAGAAATGAGGTAAAAATCAAAATAAATTAATCAAGTTTCTTAGTATCGTAGTAACGTAGTAAAAAAAGTTCTGAGGATTTTAATGAAAACTCTCTTGTTTCACTAAATAAATAGAGCAAATTACTGTGTGATCAGGAGAACAAATGAAGTTAGGTTTTCTACTAATTTGTGTATTATGTCTTTACACACTCTGTCATCCATCTTATCTCTTAACCAATTGATAATACAGCCTATCTTCCTCTCACATGGTAGTAATCACATTTGCTGTGTCTGGTCTAGGTCTATGCATGTACTGCCTGGACAGCTAGTAGAAATGATAGCCAGTTTGCTCTGCCTCTCAAAATATAAAAACATCCAAGCTGTACCTGCTTTTACATATGCTACAACAGTACGAGATTCTACCCCCACCACTGGTTCTCATGAAACTTCCAGAACTTTTTAGACCATTACTACTTTGCTTGTCTGTTGGTCCATCTATCCATCAATCCAAATTTGATAGAGGGATGAATTCCTATTCAGATAAATACTGCTTCTTCAGAAAACCAAACAAAAATTTAAGTAGGCGTGTACCAACTGAGAACACAAACTCTAATATGATCTGATAAAATGAACTCCCTTCTTCCTCCCCAGCTAAAGAAATTAAATATGTTGAAAATAATTGTAGCTTACTTGGAAGTAAGCATGATTGCATCCTATGTTTCGAAGAGTAGCTGTCTTACAAGTAGATAAGCCCATTGGACTATGACTGAAGGGTATCCTTTGTTCCACAAATTGAACTTTAGTAGCACCAAGCTATTAAAGAAAAATAAGAAAAACCAAGCAAACTACATATTACTAAGTGCAAATACATAAATCAGCCTAATTTTCTTTTCATTATATAATGCATTAATATACTTGTGGAAATGGATAAATTAGAAGTATTCAAATAGACAAATACAGTTTAAATGTGAGACAATATTTACTCAACATATTGAACTTATCTCTATTCAAAGTGAACAGACAACCCCAGAGATATTTCTGGGCTAATTTCAAGACAAATAAAAATATTTTAATTAAATTTAATTTAACAGCATAAGCTGTGTGATTTTCTTTTAATCCTAAATGTGGGATCAGGACAAGATACTTCAGAGTTTTTAATAGCAGTAGAAATACTAGTATTCTAACTTACGCTCTCGTTTATGTATATAACAATTTCCAAGGCTTCAAAAGAAGAGGAAGAAAATGAAAAAAATTACTGGGGAAAAATCCTAAAAGATAAAGAAAGCACATAAAAAGGAAGGGAAAGTTTTTATTGGCTCCCAAAACAGAAGTTCTAGTGCATGTAGCCTGTACAATTCAGTGAGAGAAAAAAAAGAAAAAAAAATGAAAGAGTCTTTCTCCTTTGCACTCCCTGGCGTGTAACATAAGATATGATATGATTAACCTAAGCTGATTTTCACTGTTTAGAAGACTATGCAGAGCACTGCTTTTCAAATTATCACAAATACTAACACAAAATTACATTACAGTCTGTTGTCTCATATACCTTCCCACACACAGATTGACTTTTATCCCTTCATATATGTGTCTATAGTACTATCACCCTTCAACCTTTGTTTGGCTAAACTAAGCAAGCCAAGAACAGTAATTAGTACTTAGTATATAAGGACAACTAAGTTGTGGTGCAAAGAAAGGTATATCATTGCAGGCAAGAAAAAGCCAAATTGTCTCTGTCTTGACTTCTCCATTCATGTCTTTGGAGCAATATTCTTTTTTTAAACATGTCAAAAAGAAAACATATGAGACTAAAATAATTTTAAATACATAATAAAAATATATTTAAGAAATTACTTGTTTAGAAAAACCACACATTTTGCTTCTCTATACCTCCTACACAAATTCTTACCTTTGCAAAACATTTCAACGTAACTGTGTTTCCTTTACGCACACACAACTTGAATTCTCCTGCTTCTGGAGAGCTGTACCCTGGATGCCAAACAACTTCACACTCCAGATCCCTATAGGCCTCCACAAAGCCTAAGTAAATATGCATAATTTACATGTTATAGCATACATGTACAGTTAGCATATTGTTAATTAGAATAACATAAGCACATTAAAGTGAAGTTACTATTACTGAAGATTAAGCCTACATTTCAAAGGTGCTGAGCAGTATGCAGAATTAAGTAGAATTATTTTCTGAATTCTCATGACAATTGCATAATCTGTTTATTAGTACCCTGCAGTAAAACCCACTCAAGAGTTCACCGGCAGTTTTTAGCCATGAATTACTCAAATAGTCAACATTTTAAAAAATAGAACCACAATCACAAATTTGGGAAAGATCATATACATTTTCGTGCTTGCAATAGAGTCCGAACTTGTATCAGCAGAAATATCTTTTATTAAGAAATCAGAGCTGATCCAGCAAAATTTTGTTTGAACTTGTAACGCCAATTCAGTTAGCAGTTAGTTCTTTAATAATGAAGTTCCATCATACTGCTGCAGAACACTATAATTCAAAGGAAAGAAAGTAAAAGTTAATGTTTTACAACACTTCTAACAATATTGATCCATAATGTAAGTGGAAACTGATCCCAGATTGAATTCCATTTGTATCACTCAGACTCTCTACATTGTCTTAACAGCTTCACATACAGTGCTTTTGGGAAATTTCATGTCCTGATAAGCTGTATAATATTGCTAACTGTCATTAAATACCTGCCTCACTTCTGGAATCACCAATCTGTACTGAGAAAAATAGTTACATAAGCACTGCTAGAAAAAAATAACTGGACTGAGTATGCAGTCAGAGAAGGCCTCGTAGAGGGAGTGCTGCTATGGTATACATTCTGACCTGACCTGACCTGATCTGATCTGATCTGATACTACTTTTGGGATACACTGATGTTGACCCAAATCTAAAAAAAAAAGAACTTATAGCATCAGCTGAATGTTTGTTTCATTTAACTTTGTTAACATTTAAGATACATTCGCATACACTGGCCTTGCACAGTATACCTTTGGCTGGCTGTACAGAAAATGCAGTTTTTCTATTTTTCATTACAGGTTTCCAAGTAAACTTAGCAGGATGATTTCTGGGATTGTATACCCTGACAGTTGTTCTAAATTCTGCCTCTGCTAGGTAGCCAGGATTAGGATTTAAGATCACTTCTCTTGCAGACAGCTCAAGTTCAACAGACACTGCTTTTGCAATTACCAGCACATGCCCAAGATGTTGGCTGTTTATTGTGTAAGTGAAAGATCTGTAACAAAAAAAAATGTATTTTTATGTATTTGTTACATCCAAGTTATGTGAAATATAATCATTAGCAAGAAAATCCCTGACAAAGCAGTTATGAACACACAGTTAAGATTGACTTAAGTTAGTTAAGAGAAAGCACTTTGCAATTGTTTTGCATACAACTTAAATCATGTTGAAAGTGAAGATCATCCCAAAAGATGATCAACCTCATACAGTCATTTCAACAGCTTTATGAAAATAAGAGTCCTAACTCCATATCAGAAGGCTAGAAAACTGTGTGCCTATAAATTTATCCACATGCTGCATCAAAAGCATACATGCAGCAATGCAACACTATGCTGGAAAAAGCACAGCATTTTCTATTAAATTTTCCTAACAAATATATTGCAATGGCAAACATTTTTCCTTGATATACCTGTGGTTATATGGGCTTTTGACAGCACAGTTTCTTGGGGATTTTTTAAATCTTAAGAAATATTACTATACTAGCAAAATTTTGCAACATAAAACTGTATTAATTATTGCAGTATCACCATAACTGAGTGTATACCATTAACAACTATCATAATTATATTGAGCTTAAACCAGCCACGGGATTTTTTATTTTAGTACTGCAAAGAAAATATGTAAATCAAGACAATTATAAAAAGCCTTACTTTTTAAACATTCCAAGAGTCTTTGTCTCAAATGCAATTGGAACATGAGTCTTTGTAAGAGGGGGCACCACCTGAGACAATGGACCTGACTTCTGTAATTCATCGATTTCAATATCAATTTGTACCCATATATGAACTAACAAGTTATTGACGATGTGCAGTTTCCTGAATGTTGTAGATTGCACACAAACATCACCAAAATCCATAGTAGAAGGACCTGGAATATATAAGTATAACTGCTAAAACATTATGATCAAAACATTTTAGTTCTTCAAATTACAGAATTAGCCATTTAGAACAACCCTGTGGCAGAACAAATTCACACTAAAATTTGGAAGTAAATACCATGCATGTTCTGTGTGCTTTCAGTAGTACAATTCAAACGCCAGCATCAACATTTATTTCTATGACAGCAAAAGCAATGTGGTAATTACTAAAGGAATTATTAATAATCACAAATATTTTTATTGATCAGATATTTAAATACTTAGACAACCAGCAATTCACTGACAATTTATATACTTAACCTGTTTGCTCCCTCGGGTTTGATCATTTGCTTTAATAATTCATGTAATTTGCTGGTGACAGGATTATCTCCCTACTTTATTTATGGCTATCATGAATTTTTATTCTGGTCTGCAAATTTCAGTGCTCATGGAACTAATCAAACATCTTACAAAACTTTTAAACACTTTTTGTAATTACTATATTTATCTTATTCTGCTTTTCCTTAAGTGTATCAGTATGCACAGCTACACTATGCCAGTTCTGGCTTCCCTGAAAATTTTTAAAAAAAGGCCAGAACATACTGAATATTTTTACTTTCCTGCTAAATAATTTTACCAAAGAAAAATGATCTCAAAATAGGCCAGTTTTAATACCAAGTGTTGTCAATAGACGAGACCCTCACAGAATTTAGCACATGTAAATCCCCATCACAGAACAATCCACTGAAATTATTTTAAAGGAGAATCCTGAAGAAGTTTCACTTTTTTTGGGTGTCACAGTTCACTCTTAATTCCCAGAAATTCTGGACACTCCCATGAATCTTCCCAATATTAATATTAGTCCAGATACTACCCAATAACTAGGCATAGGGGTATCAACAACCCTCATATTATGCTTCATTGATGCTTTTCTAATAGGCTGTAGTATGAGCAGTCTTTAAAGAAAGCTCTTTTTACATTTTCATGTCTAATCATACCTTGCTATTTTGTGAGAAAAGCTTTTGTTAAGCACTACTGTAGATAGTAAGCTGCCACCAAACTATTTTCTATTTAAGTTGAAAAATTATGAATGTAAAGTGCATTACTGTAAATGAGAGCTTTTATAACAAGTAGTGTATTTATTATTGTAGTACTATATTTAGTAACCAAATTAAAAATCTTACCTATGAGTATTTGATGAAGCTGCTTTGATGTCAAAGTTAGATTACAGTCTTCCTTTTCCTTGGTAGAAGATGGCATAGCATTAAGCCCGCTCCAAGTCTGTGATAAGCACAAAGCATCTTCTCAGAGCAGGATTAAAATTCTTATGCTTTTTATATGGTAAACAAATTATGCTTACGTTACTATTCACACATTTAACTTACATCTTTGATTGAAGATTTAAAACCAATTGGTGATGTTTTTTGACTAGTTAATAGGCGATTCTCATCTAAAGGAAGCACTTTGAACTGTGTCTTCTCCTTGTGAATATCTGTGATTGACATCTTAGGTGACATAAGCCCTTCAGCTGGTTGAAGGCCTATGTTTACAGAATTATTATAAATATAAAACTGCCTATATGGGAGGAGAAAAAAAATATGGAAATCCAGAAGTTTGAGCATCCCATGTTCCACACATTAAACTATTTAATATGGTTAAACAAAACAAATTATACTCTAATTTAGGATATTTCATTATCAAAAAAATACTTCAATTACAGAAAATGCATTGAAAACTGTTTTACTGTATTGTTTAGGCAACAATTAACAACTGTTGCACATTTGTAGCAATTGATTAGCTACCAAAATATAAATATGATATCGTGCCTAAAATACTTGTTCAAGAACAATTAAGCTGTAAAGTCAAGTACTTAAAAGTTAGTAAATACCAAGATTACAAAGAATCCTTTAATTGTATATGTCTGAACTGCACCACTTACAGCCTTATTTTCAGAGCAACTAATTCTTTTGGTTAAAGTTCAAATTCAATCAATGTTGCCTGCAACCAAGAGATTTGAAACTTCCAGAGATCTTATACAGATGTTTTCTACCAAGTATTCAGAAAATTAATACTATGTTGGATAGTAACAGTGAAATTCATCTGATAATTGTGAAACGCTCCTTTCTGATCTTGCTCCTCATGCAATAGAATATAACTTTAATATATGCCTTATAGTTATATAAGCAGTTCAACCATTCCACACCACCAGTTTCTTTCAAGAACACCATACACCATGTGCCTATATGAAAATAAAATAAATCAAGCTCCGCAGGCCTTGTCTGAATCATGATGTATATAAACAGAGTAAGGTAAATTGAGATTACAAGAATAATCCACTGGCATTATTTTTTTCTTTAAATAATGGCTCTTGAAAACTAAACAATCTTAAGATATTACTCATCTTCTTTAGAGGTTTTACAGGTTGGTTTGGGGCTTCCTTGTTTTTTTTGTTTTTTAATAAAACTTTTAGAAATAACAGAGGCGTAAGTTCTTTTCCGTTATTTTGTTCCAAAGCATATCTAAAATAAAGCTAAAAGACCAATACAATCCGTTAATCTTACCTGCTTTATTACACAAATTATTTCATAATTTACATACTGAATCTGCCACTCTGGGTCAGCTACAGATACAAGTTGGAAATACATACTATTTATCATATAAAAATAAAAGAGAATCCAACACAATCAATGTCATATTTTTCCTATTAACTGTAGCCAACTCTTCTTAAAACTTGGCACTTTATTGTAATTTCAAGTTTCATGCCTCCATCCCTACATTTTATCCAGGAAGTGATCTCTGTCTAAATGAACATTTGAAGAAAACAGGTTTTGTTTTAGGCATTTTAAATGAAGATCCCAAGACCATAATCATTTCAGCATGGGACAAATTTAGGCATATGATTGGTGCCACTAAGTTAACTCTGCGCATATAAACACATTTTTCATATAAGCTTGAAGTATTTATTTATCCTTTAAACAAAATCTTACCTAGTGGTATCTTTCAGTAAGCGACACTGTCTTAAACTAGAAATGAAGTCTGCATAGTATTTCTTATGTGCTTCTTTTGACAGACGTTCATAGTCAGTATAAGAAAACTCTGGATCTATATAATTATATCTTTCAGTCTTTGTGAAAATAGTCCTAAGTATTTAAAGAGAATTGAAGTTTCACTATGTGTGTAAAATAATTCTAGGTCTTGTTAGAATGAAAACATCAATTTTGTTACATATATATATTTCATTGCAAACATTATTTTTATTGTAGCTGATTATTAATATTTAATCTCATAAGGGCAACCATAAAGATGAAATACTGAAACTGTAACAGATGCATTTGTAGTTTCACATGAGAAAAGCAACTCGTGAAATTTATTTGCAAAAGGCATAAGTTTAAGTAGAACTCAGTGAATTTTAAGGAACTTTAGGCCTGAAAAACAAAAAAGTCACAAAACCCAGTAAACTGTCATATGAGCAACCAATCTCTCTCTTTTATATACTATATAAGAATGTGCAAATTTGCATTGTACATTCGCATAATTTTTACCTGTACTTTTTATTCCATTCACCAGGCCTAATGCTGGCTGCCCGATCATTAGGAAAAGCTGTAAGTACATCACCCTTACGATTCCTGTTTATCCGGTGAGTATGAATTTGTGTTTGGGTTGATTTAAGTATTGCCACAGGTGCTGTATCAGTGCACTGTCTTGTGCCATGAGCTACAAACTGTCCAACTGCATTGGAAATCATTGGTGTTATACCTTAAAATTCAAGTAAAAGATGTTACATTCACTTGTACTAATATATACTGAACAATAGTCAGCATGAAAAAAAAGTATTAGAAAAATAATTCTTAATTTATAATGGTCCACCTAGCATTGCAACTATCAGTCACCCATCCCACTGTTTTCCTCAGACAAGAGAGAAAAAGGCATTCAGACCATCCTAGCAATCAACCACTTTCCCTGGGCTAGATCACAGACAAGCAAATACTAGAATGCAAACCACTCCTACTATGTCCAGCTGTGACTCACTGTCTTGTGCATGCACATGACCAAACACTCAGAGCTGCCTCTGTGACAACAATGCCCGCAGTTTCCTAAAGCTTGCCTTAAGGGCTGCAAACACAGGCATGATTTTTGACAAAGAACTCCCAAGCTATCACAATTAAAAAGAGCTCTGATGTTTTTCACTCTAGTTTCAGAAAAGCACGTGTACATTAAAGAGAAAAATTATGACAGAAACTAGTCCATGTGTTTGCTCACTTCTCTTGTCTATATATATGTTTTAAATATCTATGTTTAAAACAGCACTATAAATAAATTAGTAAATCCAGTCTTTAACTGCCCTTTTCTCCCCAACCTGAAAAAAATACCAAAAAAAAAACAAATAACCAAAAAACCCCAAACAACAAACCACCAAACAACTACGTTCCATCCTCCAAACTATAAGAGTGATTCCTATAGTATTTTCCTTCCACTGCCCATGGAGGCATAGTTTGCAAGGAGCTTCATTCCAGCCTTATCCCCCCTCCACTATATACAGATACAAGTATACATACTCATCCTCAGAGACTGGGAGAACATGAAGATATGGAACCCCATCTCTATAAGGATCTGAAAAAAAAAATCACTTTCCCTCCATGCTTCAATGAAGCTTAGAAGCAAAGCATAAATATCAGTAGCCTATAGAGTACAGGTACCCCTCATAACCTCTTTATAAACCTGCAATAGGAGCAGAATGAGGACATTAATAGGACAAAAGGTAAATGAGCATTTAGAAAAGCTGACAAAACCTGAATATTAACTCTTTGATCCACAGAAACATATTTTAATTGTGCATAAGCACTTTAAAAAGTACTTATAAAACATTTTATCACTTGTCACTTATCTTTTTAGCATCTTACCAGGATTAATTTTGAATAGAATGTTTACTCGTTTAGATTTGCACACACCATTAAAGCTCAAATATATTTGATGAAAGGATTTTGTCTTCAGAACCTGAAAATTATTTTTCTCAAACGCCGTACCAATTATATCAACAACTTGCTTCACTTTAAATGTTCCTATTTGATGTGGAGTAAATGAAAACATCACATCCTGGAAAATAAAAGTTGTTATGAGACATATGACCAGAAAAGCAAAGTTTTGTGTAATTCTCTGTTTGAGTTACTTCTTTCCACACTTACTTCTAAGATAAGTGCTCAAAACTGACCTTTTAGAATATGCCAACTGCCACACATAAATCAACAATATAAGGAAATAAAAAACTGCTACACATCAGACCACCACAAAGTCACAGTTGCCCATTTCCGAGGCAATTATTCTCTCTTGTGCCCTGAGTTACAGGTTTGTGAACTTGCAAGTGTCCGACTCCATATTTGACATAAATTAGGCAAAATTTCTTCCATTAAAAGAAATTTTATCTTACTTCAGTAGCTCTCATTTACTGAAAGAAAATAAAATGATCCTGGAAAGGTTTAAACATAAATCAGCCTTCTCAAGTCAGTAAAATATAAGAAATTTAAAGCCAGGAAAAAACTGAGTAAAGTTTCTTTAGTGCTGTGTCATGGTTTAAGCCCAGGACATGCTGCAATTATTTTTTTTTTTTTCAAATTTAAATTAATACTTGTTGCTTCCTGGAGTACAGGAAAGGCACTACATAAGCAGGAAAAAAAAACACATTTGGATGATACTAAATGCCATGGCTATTGAAATGAAATTGTTCTGGTTTATTTTCAAGGACTTCCACTGCTGACTACTGTAAAGTAATCAGCATGTCTACAGAATCTAAGAGAAAGGGTAAGTTACCTTTGCAGATTTTTTTGTAATTTTTCCTTTTTCAGGAGATATATTAAAGTGAGCAGTCTTGCGGAAGCTGAATGCTACTGGAAGGGACTCAGATTCATTTTTGAGTGTGCACAGAACTTGTGTTTGTTCGCCCATGAAACAGTCCGAAAAGTTAATAACTGGTCCTGGATTAAAAGTTAACATGACAGGAAGCCCAGAACCTGTCAAAGCTAAGTCCATGTGATGGGGATGATTCACTGCAATAGACAAACAAATAAAAAAAAAACCCAAACCACAAAAAAATCTCACACACCTATTTGCTTACACACAGAAAAGTCATACTGTAGTTTTATGGTTGCAAAACCAATATAATACCATAATATGATGTAATTATAATGCAATTTTCTATAAACTTAGCCCAGACATGCTTACTTATAATGGCTTAGATAACATATTACCTCATTACGGAAGCTGAAGGTGATCAACTATCCACTTGAAAATGCACAAAACTGGTATTAGCAAAATGCTGGTGACTTCCAAATGACTGGGGGTTCTTTTATGTCTTTCAAATATTTACATTTATAATTAAGTTCTAGGTGTTCACTAGCAGCCGGTGTGTTCATGACACACAATTCCCTCCTCGTTTCTACTCATTGTTCAAAGAGGTTTTGGTGCTAAAACATTAAAGATGTAAGTTACAATAATTTACTTGTATAAATAGAAAAAAAAACAAAACAAAACAAAAAACAATACAAACATAGGTTTCCCATAAAACTGCTAAGATGAAGAAATTTAAAAAAAAAATCCAGACATACAGTTTTATCATCCTCGTACACATTTCTGATAGTCACTATTGATTGATGGCTTTGCTTCACGAATGAAGATTTGGGAAGGGCTTTACCCACACTTACTACAAGCGCGATGATGACTAAAAGGGCAATGTGTGCTAGACAAATCCAGTTGGAAAGAAGGCTCCTTGGTCATTCAGGATGTTTCCAAACAAGACTGTCATCTCCTGGATCAATCTCGAGCGACCAGTGTCCTGAACTGCCTGCAGTTCAAATCATTGGGTCTGCAGTGGTACTCACTATATGTTTCCAGTAACAAACCTTTGATTGCTGTAGCACCATCATCAAGGGCCTCCAGACAGACATCTTTATTTCCAACATCCTCAAATCTCAGAAACAGTACATAATCTTGCTTTGGTGATGAGTCATGGACTCCAAAGTCTCTTTGATATTTTCTGTAAGATCCACAAACTCTAATTACAAGACGGGGAAAAAAACAAATCGCCAAACTCTAACCCATATAAAAATCAAGGCTTATTTTTCGTCAACCAGTCTGGCTTTGTTGTGGTTGGATACAGTTTGAACAAATAGCCTTTATACTTCCTTTCAGACAGTGGAACAGCAACAAATTTAAGCAACAGTACCTGTATGCTTATTATACTAGTCATCTGACATCTTGTCCAGTCTACAACAGTTTTCTAAACTAATACTACATGCATAATAACCACCTGTAACTATAGTTTAAGTATGGGATATAGCTAGAGAGCATTTTTTTTCTTTTCCTTATCTTCAAAAGAAATGTTCCTTTATGATTTTTATTTTTTTTTAATGGAACAAAATTAGTCCAAAATGTTTTGGTTTCTTGGTGATGATATATATAATCTTTCAAAATTCTGCACATATAGTATATTTTTATAAAATAAATCTGCAGTCATCAAAAAGACACTTAATCTGACACTGTAAAATTCTCTCAAAAACCTCTAAAGACTTAACATACTTAATGAGAACTGCAATTAGTTCCCTTGGCAAAATCTAATAAAATTCTTGTTCTCTCAAAAAGAGCTTAACCAATTCTTGGTTCAAATAAACCCTTAATGTATTATGAAACCTCTTCCAGATAATCCCTTCAGACTTTACTTCCTCATTTGTAGTATCATGCCAAGCATTTCTTTGAAGACACATAAAACATAAGAAATCATTCATTAAAAAATTGCAGACACATTAACTTAAGATCATTACAAAATAGCTTAGCCAAATCAGTTTGTATGTATGTGTCTGATTTGGAGCACTCACTCACTTCGGAGTAAAGTACAGTGTAACCAAAGACTTCTCATAAGGCAGCAAGGTGCCTTGATTAGGAATGCACAAGATCAAGGTGGAAACATCTACATCTCTTTTTCTATTCTTGAGGCTTAAGTCTTGTAAAGCAGCTTCTGTACTCCTCTGAAGATCTGTTCCCTAAAATATAATCAAAATGTAGAATAGTTTAGCCTGTTTTGCTTCCCCTTTTGTATTTGGTATTTGGGTGGGGTTTGGGGGGCTTTTTCCTTGGTTTTGTTGTGGTTTTGTTGGTTGGGGTTGGTTGGTTGGTTGGTTGGTTGGGGTTTTTTTGGGAGGGTAGGAGTGTTTTCTTCCTTACACATACATTTTCATCATTTTCATATTCACACATCATCACACAGAAATTCATAACTTAAGTAATAGCACTGACATAGCTACCTATCACATGGCAAATTAACCAATTTTTAAACATCAATTCCATGACAAGGTTTTGAATTCCCTTTTTTAAAGATGATGCTCACTCACACGATTGCACTGCCTGAGAAAAACAAGTGAAACCAGATTCATAACATCTTAGAATACCAAAGTATGTTTTGATTTCAAAGCAGGATTTCAAGCAAAAACATTCGAAAAAACCCTAAGAAACAAGCAAACAAAACCCACACAGACACATGGACTGTACTTACTCCTGTTAAGGTTAAGATGTCACAAAGTGAAACAGAGATATCTGAAAAACTGAATTTCAAAATTATATTATAGAAAAATATTTGTTGATTAGACAGAAATTTTAGAAAGAAAATTTAGAAATTTTAAGATCAGGAAATGATATGACATAGTAAAAAATACTAGAAGAGTAATGCTGAGAAACAAAAAAAAAAAAAAAAAGCAAAAGCAGAAGTGAAAACAAGTTTTCAACTGAAATAAAACCCAGAACAGTTTCTTACCATCTCTCCTCCAATGGCATTGTCTTCCAGTACTGCTACCCAGTCCATACGCTCAGGACTTTCGTTGTATAAAAATATTTGTTCAGTCTTTGAAGACCCAAAGTAAACTGGTCCAAAGTTAATGCATTCCAATATATTTCCACAAGACACTCCTAGAACTTTCAGAACTTGCTCAACCACAACAGCTTTGACCCATACTTCAGTGCAGCCATGACCTTCCAACTCCACTCTGTCGGTAAGAGCAGAAAGCAGGAATAGGTAATGTAGGAAAGTGTTAGAAATAATACACTTGGTTTAATTAAAATCTATGCAAAACTGAACCTAAGCAGAGCATTCAAATCACTGACTCTCCATAAATAACCCAACCTGGGGCGGTGGGAAGTCGTACTTGACAAAGTGATACCTAAAAGAGATACTACTATTCAGTAAGAATCACACATTTTACATTGGGAAGTTTTGGGGGGCTTTTAAAGTTTTTCTGCTCTTTTAATGCTTGAAAAAATAGGAATGATATCTCAAAAGAATCTGAGATATCCATAGATGATGATACAGTGCTCTTATTTCTGAGAATCTTTGTTTCTAGCTACTAATTCTGGTATATATGCGGTAATTTTCTTTTAGGCAACTGGAGTTAAATTTCATCTAACAAGCATAAAAGAACCATTGCTCTTCCTGCCTGAATGCTAGATCTAGATGATATCACAAAACACCAAAGGACCATAAATACAGGGTACAAATCTTTATTGCTAGAATTTTAATAAAACAAAGCAAGTTTGTTCTTGTTACACAAAATAATCAAATCTACTAATATGGCTATTGTTCTAATAGAATCAACTATCCTTTTAAATAGCCTCTGAGCTGAAAAAAAAAAAAACCCAAAACATAGAATCATAGAATAGTTAGGGTTGGAAAGGACCTTAAGATCATCTAGTTCCAACTCCCCTGCCACGGGCAGGGACACCTCCAACTAAAGCATGTCACCCAAGGCTCTGTCCAACCTGGCCTTGAACACTGCCAGGGATGGAGCATTCACAACTTCCTTGGGCAACCCATTCCAGTGCCTCACCACCCTAACAGTGAAGAATTTCTTCCTATATCCAATCTAAACTTCTCCTGTTTAAGTTTTAACCCTTCTCTTCTCCAGGCCGAAAAGCTCCAACCTTCTCAGCCTATCTTCACACGGGAGATGCTCCAGTCCCCTGATGATACTCACAGCCCTCCTCTGGACTTGTTCCAACAGTTCCATGTCCTTTTGATGTTGAGGACACCAGAACTGCACACACAATACTCCAAGTGAGGTCTCACGAGAGCAGAGCAGAGGGGCAGGATCACCTCCTTCAACCTGCTGGTCACACTCCTTTTGATATATTCCAGGATACGGTTGGCTTTCTGGGCTGCGAGAGCACACTGAAGCTGCCTCATGTTCATTTTCTCATCAGTCAATACCCCCAAGTCCTTCTCTGCAGGGCTGCTCTGAATCTGTGCCTGGGATTGCTCCGACCCAGCTGTAGGACCTTGCACTTGGCAGAGTTAAACTTCATATGGTTGGCATCAGCCCACCTCACAAGTGTGCCAAGGTCCCTCTGGATGGCATTCCTTCCCTCCAGCACACACAGCTTGGTGTCATGGGCAAACATGCTGAGGGCGCACTCAATCCTACTGCCCATGTCACCAACAAAGATGTTGAACAAGACCAGTCCCAACACCGATCCCTGAGGGACACCACTCATTACTGGTCTCCAGCTGGACAAGAGCCATTGACCACAACTCTTTGTGTGCGGCCATCCAGACAGTTCTTTATCCACCCAGTGGTCCACCTATCTAATTGATGTCTCTCCAATTTAGAGACAAAGATGTCGTGTGGGACAGTGTCAAACACTTTACACATATCCAGGTAGATGACATCAACTGCTCTACCCCATCCATCAGTTCCATAGCCCCATCAGAAGGACACCAAACTGGTCAGGCAGGATTTCCCCTTAGTGAAGCCATGCTGGCTGTCACCAAGCACCTTGTTGTTTTTCATGTGCCTTAGCATGCCTTCCAGGAGAATCTGCTCCAAGATTTTGCCTGGCACAGTGAGACTGACTGGTCTCTAATTCCCTGGGCCATCCATTTTCCCTTTCTTGAAAATGGGGGTTATATTTCCCTTTTCCCACTTGTTGGGAACTGCACCTGACTGCCATGATTTTTCAAATGTGATGGCCAGTGGCTTAGCAACTTCATTTGCCAGCTCCTTCAGGACCCGCAGATGGATTCAATCAGGTCCCATGGACATGTGTATGTTCAGGTTCTCAAGATGGTCTCAAACCAGTTCCTCTCCTACAGTGGGCCTAGGGTCTTCATTCTCACAGTCCCTGCATCTACCTTCCAAGACTTGGGTGGTGTGGTCAGAGCCTTTGCCAGTAAAGACCGAAGCAAAGAAGTCATTAAGAACCTCAGCCTTCCCCAGATCCTGTGCAGCCAGTCCTCCTGATAGCTTCTGGAGGCAGCCTGTGTTGTCCTTAGTCTGTATTTTATTCACTACGTTCCTATAGAATCCCTTCCTGTTATCCTTAACATCCCTAGCCAAGTTTAATTCTAATTGGGTCTTAGCTTTCCTAACCTGGTCCCTAGCTTCCCAGACAACACCCCTGTATTCTTCCCAGGCTGCCTGTCCTTGCTTCCACCTTCTGTAAGCCTCTTTTTTCATTCAAATTGACCTCAGCAGCTACTTATCCATCCAAGGAGGTCTCCTGGCCCCCCTGCTGCTCTTCCTTCTAGTTGGGATGCAACATTCCTGAGCTTGCAGTAGGTGATCCTTGAATATCAACCAACAGTCTTAGGCCCCTCTGCCCTCTAGGGCTATATCCCATGGAACCTTACTAAGCAGGCTCCTGAAGAGGCCAAAGTCTGCTCTCCTGAAGTCCAGGGCAGTGAGCTTGCTGCACGCTCTTCTCACTGTCCTGAGGATCTTGAATTTGACCATCTCGTGATCGCTGCAACCAAGGCTGCCCTGGAGAGTCACATTTCCAACAAGCCCTTCCCTGTTGGTGACCACAAGGACAAGCATGACACCTTGCATGACACAAGCATGACATGTTAGCTCCTCTATTACTTGCAGAAGAAAGCTGTCTTCTACACAATCGAGGATTGCTTATGCTGGGCTGTACCGTCGCTCCAACAGATATCAGGGTGGTTGAAGTCTCCCATGAGAACAAGGGCCTGCAAGTGTGAGGCTGTTCCTACCTGTCTGTAGAGTGCTTCATCTGCAGATTCCTCTTGATCAGGCGGTCTGTAACAGATCCCCACAGTAATGTCTCCCATCGCTGTTCTCCCTTTAACCCTGACCCTCAAACTCTCTGTTGACTGCTCACCAGTCCCCAGAGAGAGTTCCATACTCTCCAGCCTATCCCTAACATAAATAGCAACATCTCTTCCCCACCTGCCAGGCCTGTCTTCTCTAAAGAGCCTGTAACCTTCCATTCCAACACTCAACTCACAGGAGCCATCCCACCATGTTTCTGTGATGCCTGTTATATCATACTCCCATAAAAGTGCACACATCTCTAATTCCTCTTGTTTGTTCCCTATGCTACGGGCATTTGTACAGAGGCATCTGAGCTGAGCTTCAAATGAAGCCTGCTCATTGGCTGGAGAGGCTGGAATATCTCTACATTGCTCCAAGCATTTATTATAGGTGCTGGCAACTGACAGAATGATGCTCCCCTCCCCCAAACCACCTAGTTTAAAGCATCCTTGACCAGTTTGGCAAGCCTCCTACCAAAATGTAGAACTCCACCAGCCCCCAGTAGACCTGGCCTACTAACTTGGGTCCCGTGCTCAAGACACCCAAAACCCTGACTATGGCACCACCCTTTTAACCATTTATTAACCTGGCCAATCCTCCTAGCCTTTTTAGGGTCCTCCCCTGTATCCTGGAGAATTGACAAAAAGACAATCTGAGCTCCAGAGCCTCTAACGACCTCTCCCAGGGCTCTGTAGTCCTTCTTTGTGTTCTCCAGGCTAAAAATTTTTCTGTTGAATATTCACATATAACTACACAATCCTGGACAGCAAAGGAAAAGCAGAAAGCATGATGCTTTGCAACCAAAACACTGAAACTCAATAACCAAAGAAAATAACAAATGAAGAAGGATGTAACTGTGGTACAAAATGCAAATATTTTCTTCCCCATCACTCCAGTAGAATTTGTCTCCTTTCCTTTCATTTCCTTTTCCAACTAGCTACACAAATGAAGAATATAAAGAAATAATATCAAGTGATATGTCTTAATAATTTTAAAAGACAACTAGGAAAACAAGCCAACCACACCCTATTCACTATTATAATAAAACAGGATTGCAAAGGACTTTTGTCGTGGTTTAAGCCCAGTCAGACATGCAGCTTGCTTGCTCACTTCCCCCCCTGTTCCTCCCCCCAGCTCCCAGAGGGATGGGGAGGAGAATCGAAAGAATATGACTCCCACTGGTTGAGATAAGAGCAGTGCAGTAACTAATAAGGGAAATAACAAGGGAAGAGAATACAGCCGCTCACCACCCTCCAACTGATACCCAGCCCGACCGAGCAGTGATCTAGCCCTTCCGGGTAACTGCCCTCAGTATATATAGTGCGCATGACGTGCTGTGGTATGGAATACCTCTTTGGCTAGTTTGGGTCAGGTGTCCTGTCTCTGCTTTCTCCCAGCTTTCCCTCCTCCCTGGCAGAGCATGAGACTCACAAAGTCATTGGTCAGAGTAAACATTACTGAGCAGCAGCTAAAAACATCAGTGCTATCAGCGCTCTTCCTAGGCCAAAAGTCAAAACCATAGCACCCCACTAGCTACTAAGGAGAAAAATGACTGCTGAACCCAGGACAACTTTACAGATGGGAATCTAGTTTCAAATTCTGGCACTTTAAAAAAGTTTATATTCACCAATTGAAGGGAGATAAGTTAGGCATTTAAAAACAGTCTATTCTTAAAGGACTTAGTGGTTGAAAATAAGTTCTCTCCATTTAAAACAAGATACACCAAAGGACAACATAATGTTTTTCAGACACCTGAAACGCAAAAATCCAATGGAAAAATAGCAAAGTTAGAGAAGCTAAGAAAAAAAAAAAGGAACACAGGATGTGTAGAAAGGTAAAAGATACAAAAGGCTCTTGATTAATTGTATAATGAGAGATATGCAAAGAACCCGTATCATTACAACTTATGAGAAAACTTTAATAACACAGCCAGGTATACAACTTATGCATCACTGATTACATTATCACCACAGAACATCAAATTAATTTAATAAAAATAAATGTGGAATACAGCAACTGACACCTAGAAGATCAACTTTTTCAGATAAACAATCACAACAAAGACTAGAATTAATAATGTAACTTAAAGAGCTGGATTTCCTCAGTCATACACTCACTTTACCACTTCTTTGATGATTCTGGGTATATCTGTGCAGATATCCACTTTAACTATCTTCCTAGATTTTGGCTCTACTACTCCTCTGATAGGTTCTATGTTAAGCAGGACAGCGCCATCGTATGATACTTTGAATGTACCTAAAAGAAACAGAATAATAAACACAGTGTTAGACAACAAAGTTGTAGATTTATATTCTTCTACTACACATTTGGAATTACAAAATACACAATGCAGATATTCACAAGCAGTACATTTTCTTGTGGAACAGGAAAACTATTTCTAACAACAAAGTAGATCATTATTTCCAGCATTTCTTTAAATATTACACCCACATGTCCCATGCCATTTTGCAAGTTGGAACACAAAAGGTACTCCCATTCCAGACAAAAGTGACTATACAATAAAGCAGCTGTAAGTAAAGGTTTGTAAGTTACAGGCTGGTTTATACAGAGCTCTAGACAGCTGCTATAGCCAGAAAGTTAAATGTATAATGCAGTCAACAACAGTTTTCATTATTTGGTACACATCACAATTTATTGCAAGAGAAAACAGTGAATATTTCTAGGTTATAATTTGTTTTAAATGTGAAAAAATATATATTTAACCAGCAGCACTAATTAACTGATATTATATCATACACAGCAAGAAATTGTTTCAAATGTAGAAAAAATTCACTGTTTTACCTCAGACAATCCCTGACATAAGAAGCAAAAGCAAAGGACTCATTTTGTGCAAGGGATGAGATGTGAAAGGTAATGCTTGAGTCACAGGCTGGCATACAGCATTTCCTGCTGATACAGTTTATGTGCTGCCTGTTAGTGTGACCCGCTGTGTTGATTTACAAAGTCTATAGAAAAACCTATCCAGCAGCTTTTCCTTTATCTGACCTCAATACATCCTTTATTAACCACCACTTTCATTCTAATTTTCCATGTCCAATCCTGCAGAACTTGACTACGCAACCTGCATGCATCATGCAACAGAGTTTATAACTAGAAATAGCGTGTACACAATGTGAGAAATTTCACATCATGGATATTAGTTATAGATGCATATGCATTATCTCATTTTCTTTATTTAATCATGATTTCTCAAAGTGAAATGTTACTATGTATAAGAGTTGTTTATATAAACTACATACTAAATCTTTAAAATAAAATCAAATTCTGTTCTAACTAGACAGTCATCTGGGTTTGGGGGGGGGGGGATTTGTTTTGGGTTTTTTAATATTTCAACTCATCTCTGTGTTTCCACAATCATGTATTTTCTTTTGATACAGTATTTCTGTGGAAATCTATGAAGCAAATGCTCACACAACCTTGGCCTACTGCAAATAAAAATCTCTTGTGTTTTAATAAACAGCTGTACAAGTGAGGAACAAAAAAACAATCAACAGCCTTAAATTTGTTGTTTGAAACGGCACATAATTGCCACCCTGCTTTTGGAGAAAGGTGCCTGCAGCTTTGTCCGGTGAAAAGGCAGTCAAATAGATTACTTGGATCCCATAAGGATTCTTATGCACCATGCTCTGTGTTTCTTATATTCCTTGGAAGCATCCCTCACAAAAGTTAAAGATGTGCATGTTTTGAAAGCTCTATGACTTCAAAAGCTATGGCAGCAAGATAAAAAGACTTCTTGTTACTTTCTGATAATAAAAACAGCTCAACTCCCATCCTAGAGGACTTCAGCTCTGAAAGTACAAGGAGCTTGTAGTTGTTTATTTAACAGACAGCTATTGGGATCACAGAATCACAAGACAAAAAGAGCAAGGGCAGACATGATTTGCTATTATTTATGCTGTGCATAGTAGTCCAATGAGAAACTGACGTTTTTTCATCTTTCAGATAGGACTCAAAAAATAGAGAACTCCTAAAATTTAGCAAAGTTCTAAATTAATTTTTCTTCCCTAAGGAGAAGCAGTACTGCCTATAGAAACAATGGGCCATTTCTAACACCTTTAGCTACAACACTCATAACCCCCATAACCCACTCGGCCACTCAAGTGTCTACTTGCATAAAATTACATTTTCCAAAGAAATAAAATATTTGTATAATGTAATCCATACTAAATATTTACCTGAAGATGATCCACGGTTAGCAATACTAATTTCTTTACTAATTACTTTACTGTTTGCAATCACTGTACCAAAATTAGTCTCTGACTCGATTTCCAGGCAACAGCACGGAATCAATCTGCAGAGAAAAAACATGGTTATATGCTCCCAAAACTTGAAAATACCTTTGCATTTTTAAAGAAATTTGGTTAACTACTCCAGCAGAAGAGAGTTCTGCTTTTCTCCTAATTCTCCTACCAATGTTTATGCAACTCACTTCAGCAGTATGGTATACACAGGGAAGATGTAAAAGCGATCTAGCTGTCTATCAAGCTGTTTAATGGCTAACTACTGTAGCTTTAAAACATTATAGCTTTAAACAATTGGTCAAAATGGAATGTATACATTTCTATTTAATTTTAAATAATTATAGTACTAAGAACTTTAAGTAAAACTAGTTAGTTACATCGCAAAAGAAGACCAAAGTTTACATTCACTGTATTTTATTACCAGCTGCCTGAACTAAAAGCAGCGAGAAAACATGCATGCCAGTTCCAATTTACAGTCATCTTGTTTTATAGATACTTTATGTGGCTTCAACAAAACTTACTACAACAGACAGAAGTGGATAATGACACAAGTTATTCCTGTTATTGATTTAAGAGCCTTAGCCAGCATGACAGCAAAACTGTACTGGGTACTTCTCGGCCATAACAAAAAGATCATGCTTGTTTCAGGAAACCTGTATTTTAAGGGCCCCAATTTCTCACACAATCACACCTCTGATCTCACATAAACTGTGTATGAAATCAACTGGAATTTTACATCAGCATAACTCTATCTCATCTCCTCTTAACCACAAATAGGAATATGCAGGAACAACTATACCATGATCTGTGTTACATAGGGTACTAGAGACTAAATGGAGAAGGAAGATACATCTCCTTCGCCAAGGTAGATAGACCCTGCCTGTGTAATACGTTGCATGGAGGAATGGCGGGGGGGGGGGGCAGGGAGAGATGTATAAATGTTATCAACATTATCATAACCAAATTAGAATGAAGCAAAACCAGAATCCAAAGTCTTTCTAGAATCTTAGAAGACATTGCCCCAATTAGCTAATTACCTTTGTGCTGCTTCGGAAAAAAAAAATAAAAATCTTACTTTTGTAAGAAAACTTACTATTTGTTTTCAGTGCAACTGACACATTAATTACATAGCCATAGGTGACTTGTATTAGCAAGCTTTCCACAAGATTAAACTGCTAATCATAATGGCAGCATATGAACTTCTGAACACCATACCCAAGCAGGGGGATATCAACTATCTCATCTTCTATTAAAAGAAGTAGTCTATCTTGAAGATCTTCTTTACTCTTAGGATAATATTCCACAAAAGCTGTAACTCGAAGTCCAGGTGCAACAGGTTTTTCTGGATTTTCCACAATCAATTTAAACTGTAATAAAAAAAAATCTAGTTTTAAAAAAGATATATATGTGGTTCATTGATTTTAAATTCAAACCCAATTTTTAAATATATAGGATTTTATAAACTTTCTTTTCCTATTCAATGAAGTTCAGACTTTCTACAGTAGGGCAAAAAGAACAAATACTGACACATCAAATTACACAGAAGAGTTAATTTAGAAAAATATAATTTTGAGCCTTTCCAAGAGAGCTTTAGCTTTTCCTGCTGTTGCAAGAAACCTTCAGCAACACAGAAGTCAGCTATTACTCAATGGTGAATCTTTTCAGTACCTCTGAAAGTAATAAGGATCAAGTCTCAGTTCAAACCATCAACTAAAGGAGACTGCATCAGAGGTTTCTCTAGGTCTGTCTGACATTCAGCAAATGTCAAGAGGATGTCCTTCAGATTGTTGAAAAATCTGCTTGAAGGGCCCATGGCACCTTCAGTTTGGGGGATCAAATGACAGAAAAAAAACCAACACAGAAGCAGCTGCCAGAAAGCAGGTTTTCCCTCTCTCAAAAATTCTGGTTTTGTTGTTTGTAAGCATCTGCTTATAACCAACAGCCCCACACATTTTTTCATTGAACAGAATATACAAATAATCTACTAGCACAAAGTGGGAAATACAGCAGTTCCCTAGAAAGTACCCTAGTACCCTAGAAAGGAAAGCCTTGTAGCAAAATCTATAGTTTCTGGGGTGTTTCAGTCTTTTTACAATTCACATCACTCTATGCACAAAAGGCTTCTGCTCTATATGTCCAATTTTACTCATGTTATTTCTGAAAAAGGGTCATCCCAGTATTCTTTATTTTTTCTGTTCTAATTTATGTTTGACATATGCAAACATATCATTTACTACTTGTTGATTTTATTGTCCAAGCATCCCCTTTAACATTTTCCTAGCAGTATAAACACTCAACTAGAGGAAATTTGTTACATAACATGTATCATGATTATGGGCTCGATTTTGAAAGAGTAACCATGTTTTAATTTTGAACTGTGTAAAATTATTTTTGAAAGTTAATTAAACAGCCAAGCATATTCATTTTACACAAGGGAAAATTAATATGTTGTCCTACTGCCTTTAATGAAACCTATGGAAAACTGCTTTGTGAGCTAAATTTCTTGAAAGGCATTCCTTGATCACGCACCATGACAGCTCAAGGAAGGTTATTTTTCAGTCCTTGTACCCTATGAATGTAATACCTCTGAAAATTTACAGATGAGTCATACACTTCAGAGCCGTGTAATAACAGATGGCAGCGTAAGGTCTGTGAATGAGAAAGGTCAATATAACAGACCTTTCTAGAACTGAGCATGTGAAGTCGAACCTTGTCCTCTTATCAGTCAAATTAGTTGTCTCACTCACAATAGCATTAAAATACTCTGCAAAGGCATGAGATACTTACAGAGGTAAAAACTTGTTAAGCTATGATTGAGTAACTGTTTCTCTAAAATTGACTCTGCCTTTCCACTTCTGGAGCACATGAAAAATTGATAAGGCTGATGAAAACTATCAAACCAGAATAAGCACAGCCCTACCAAATCAACCGCACTCAACAGTTTCCAGCTCATTTCAACAGTCTTCAGTTACAGTGTAATAAAAATCAAGATCCACCTCACACAAAGTTGTGTGGGGGTATAAAATGCAGGTTTGGCCACTCTTGACCTCCAAAAGAAAGGCTGATTACTCAAAACAGCAAAATTATCCAAGTTACTACAAGTGTCTGACAATGGTTTTGAGGACTACCCTAGAATATACATATTCATAGACCAAGCTGCTGTGAACACAAAGCAACATCAGCTTCTGTTCAACACCCAATGGGAATTTAACCCTTTGATCCTAATTTTTACATAATTAACAGATAATAAACTAGCTAAATGAAAGACCAAAGTAAAACTAACCACAGACAGGTTTTGCTAGGCCAACATAGGATACAAGTCAAGGGCTAAACTGGTTAGAACTGTAAAGATGCATTTGCCTTAAAAAACTCTGTCTATGCAATGATTTTTCCAGAACTAATTAGATAATATTAACAGTGACCATACTACCTTGAGCAAAGATTATAAACCCCTCTTTTCTGAAAAGCCCTCTGCAAGCAAGCATAACAAATGAACTACACCACTCAAAAAACTCAGAATATAATACAAAAATAACAGAGCTATCAGTCAAAACTATGGAAACCCAAGCAAAAATAATTTCAAACACTGTGCCTTCCAGATAATCTGGAAAACTTCTCAGATTTGGTGTTCACTCTGTGGCAAACTGATCAGTTTCTACATAACACTGCATGAAGTAACAAGGAACTCATGGGCTTCTTGAGGGATAGAACTTCTGGAGACTGCAGTCAGCCAGTAAAGTTAAGCAGCATTTTCTACCAGCAAGGGACTTTATGTAGCAGAACTTACAAGCAAGTACTTCTACTGAAACTCTGGATTTAACAAGGGAGCTCTCCAAATCACTCACAACCTCAGGAAACTATAGTGCTGGGAAGGCTGGAGTTCATTTGATCCTGACTTACAGGCTTCAAATGAGCAGACTCATTTGAAGCTCTACAAAATAACATTTCTCAAGTGTCATAGAAATGAGACCTACACATTCTCACAACAAAATGATAAACCAGGACTGAAACCCTCCTTCAGAACTGTCACACAAGAAACAATTCAGACAATTCTGAGAATTGCATTTTTTTCTTTCTATTTATCCAGTTATTCAACAGTTTTAACCTCCAATTCACTGGCAAATTTCAGTCAGTTTCATAAGCTGTGCAGACATCCATGAGCCATTTGCCATTTGCAGCACTGAATGCATTTACACCTACCAAAGCAGTCTCTTACATAGGACTGATAATAGAAATTCACTAAGACAAAGAAGCTATATACTAAGACAAAGAAGTTTTAAGCAAAAGGAAAAGCATAAAATTGTAAGGTCAGCGAGCTAATTAAGCAACTTTGCTACTACTTGTCTAGGCCTAAGCCAATAGGGACTGCTTGCGTGCTAAAGATGTATACTGGTTAAGGCTGCTTTGGTGGTTCGGAAAACTGCTGTGAAAGCACTTGCACATACTCCGAGAGAAAAGGTGGAAAGTTCAACCTAGGGGAAGACTTTGAGCCTTCATCCTCACAACCACTGTTGACCACCACCAGAGGACAGCACACATACCCAAGGAGGAATGGCAGAGTTTCAAGAAGGATCCCTCCTCTTCTCAGAAATCTTATGAAGATGCGTATCTACTAACATAAATTTGGGGTAAGCTGGGCAGTGAGCGCACATGTTAGCAGGAGCAATCCCCCACGTGCCCAGTGCCAAATAAACAAATACCTACTTAATAGTTATCACAGTATCACACAGTATCACAGTATGTTAGAGATTGGAAGGGACCTCAAAAGATCATCTAGTCCAATCCCCCTGCCGGAGCAGGAACACCTAGATAAGGTTACATAGGAACGTATCCAGGCGGGTTGTGAATGTCTCCAGAGAAGGAGACTCCACAACCTCCCTGGGCAGCCTGTTCCAGTGTTCTGTCACCCTCACTGAGAAGAAGTTTCTTCTCAAGTTTAAGTGGAACCTCTTGTGTTCCAGTTTGTACCCATTGCCCCTTGTCCTACCATTGTTTGCCACTGAGAAGAGCCTGGCTCCATCCTCGTGACACTCCCCCTTTATATATTTATATACACTAATAAGGTCACCCCTCAATCTCCTCTTCTCCAAACTATAGAGACCCAGCTCCCTCAGTCTTTCCTCATAAGGGAGATGCTCCACTCCCTTCATCATCTTAGTTGCCCTGCGCTGGACTCTCTCCAGCAGGTCCCTGTCCTTCTTGAACTGAGGGGCCCAGAACTGGACACAATATTCCAGATGCGGTCTCACCAGGGCAGAGTAGAGGGGAAGAAGGACCTCTCTCGACCTACTAACCACCCCCCTTCTAATACACCCCAGGATGCCATTGGCCTTCTTGGCCACAAGGGCACAGTGTCGGCTCATGGTCACCCTGTCGTCCACCAGGACCCCCAGGTCCCTCTCTCCTATGCTGCTCTCTAAAAGGTCGTTCCCCAACCTATACTGGAACCTGGGGTTGTTCCTGCCCAGATGCAGGACTCTACACTTTCCCTTGTTATATTTCATCAAGTTATTCCCCGCCCAACTCTCCAGCCTGTCCAGGTCCCTCTGGATGGCAGCACAGCCTTCTGGCATGTCGGCCACCCCTCCCAGCTTAGTGTCATCAGCAAACTTGCTGATAGTACACTCAATTCCCTCATCTAAATCATTGATGAATATATTAAATAATACTGGTCCCAGTACCGGCCCTTGAGGCACTCCACTAGATACAGGCCTCCAACTAGACTCCGCCCCATAGACTACACCTCTCTGGCTTCTCTCCTTCAGCCAGTTCACAGTCCACCTCACTACCCGATCATCCAGACCACACTTCCTCAATTTGGCTGCGAGGATGCTGTGGGAGACTGTGTCGAATGCTTTGCTGAAGTCAAGGTAGACCACATCCACTGCTCTGCCATCATCCATCCACCGTGTTATTTCCTCATAAAAGGTTATGAGATTGGTCAAGCATGACTTCCCCTTGGTGAAGCCATGTTGACTGCCCCTCATAACCCTCTTATCCTTGATATGCCTTAAGATGGCACCAAGGACAAGGTGTTCCATCACTTTCCCAGGAATGGAGGTGAGGCTGACCGGTCTATAGTTACCCGGGTCCTCCTTCTTGCCCTTTTTGAAGACGGGAGTGACATTTGCTTTCCTCCAGTCCTCAGGCACCTCTCCTGTTTCCCAAGACTTGGTAAAGATGATGGAGAGTGGTCTAGCAATGACCTCCGCCAGTTCCCTCAGCACCCACGGGTGCATCCCATCTGGACCCATGGATTTATGGATGTCCAGATCTCTAACCCATTCCTCATCGACTAAGGCAAACTGCTTCATTGACCTGTCTTCATCTGAGGTCTCAGCGGTACAAGGGCTCTTCAGGACTGCCT